TTAATCACAGCATTAAGGTAACGGTCACTGCATTCAACCTGGAGGGTGCAAACATCTTCCCTGAGCAGACAGCTCTGCTGCATCCTTATTAATCCAAAAATCATACCCATATTAATCACTCCACAGATTATTACTCTACCCATATCCATTACCAACCTGCTAATCCTCCAGCCTGTGCACTGGGGCATTGGCTTCCCACCAGCAGCTCCTCGTTGTTCCTCTGCAGATGGAGGGAGGGAATTCTTCCTTGTTCCAGAGGTGCATCCTTGGGAGCTCCCTGCAGAGCTCCCCACTTCACAGCTCCCAATCAAAAGGCAGCCAGTTCATCAGTGTGTGTGTAAATGAGGGGTTTGTTTGAGACTTGCAATTAGCACAGTGCTGAGACCACTGTGAATGCCTTTCCTACACCCTCCCCATGGCAGCACACACCAAGCCCAGACAGTGCCCTGCTACTCCAGCACCTACTCCTACAGGAATACAGGGAACTATAGCATCTCCAGAGAGTGATTTAGCATAGCTGAGGTGATTTACCTTTTAGAAACACTGATATCCTTTATATATCTGTAGCACCTGAGGTGAATCCCACCCATTAGCATGATAAGAGCAGCTGGTCAAGGCCATCATTTTGCTGCCAGCCTTACAGCCCTCCTCACTGCCAATCCTTCTGGAAGCATCAGGTCATCCTCCTGCTTCTACCTGCATGGGAAAAGAGGCCAGGCCACGAACAGAGCAATCCTTTGAATTCCCTCCCAAAGTGGATTTGAGCACTTTTGGTGCTTGATCTAATTGTTTGGTGCATTTGTTCCCTGTGACTCGCCTTGAGCCGCTTCCCTCCCAGGCAGGGTGCTGGCACTCTGACCCGGGCTTGTCAAAGGCTAAAATGCTATTTGAGCGCATATAAAATATGCATGAGGTCTGTGACCTAGTCTATAAACCCCTGTACAGCCCGAGGCAGTGCCTTTGTGGAGGAGCTCAGAGACATCGCAGGTTCCCGCTGCAAAAATCAAATGAACGTCAAAAGAACGCTCAAAAAACTCTTCCCCCTGAGATCCCCCCCACCACTTCCCTTTGTGACAGCTGAACAAGGCAAAAAAAAAAGGAGGAACTTTTCAGCATTTCTATCTTCTCCTCAAAGCTCAGCCTAATTGAGTGCTAACAAAAGAGAAAACGCTTTCTCCTCTCCAGGCAGGCGGCGGTGGCTGGAGCAGAATGACAATTCCAGCCGTGCAGAGACATCCAGCTCTGGCAGACATGAACTCATCTGGCCACCCACTGCCACCTTAGCACGAGGGGTCTGTGTGTCCAGAGCCAGCTCTGGTAGCCCAATCCTGCATCCCAGTGGCTCCTGGCCACCTCCCACCACCTTAACACGAGGGGTCCGTGTGTCCAGTGCCAGCCCCGGCACCCAGCAGGGACTTGGAATGTGTTCATTCCCGGTGCTTCTGCAGTGCCTTCCATCTGAGACTCCCAAAGTGTCATTAAATCTCCCAACACCTGCACTGGGGATGAGAATTAACTCTGTTAGGCCACTTAGAGGGGAAACAGGTGGAAGGCAGGATGATTTTGTGGCAAGAGAGCAGCCAAGCTGGGAGTGATCCATGGGGGGGGGATGATTCTTCCCACTGCAGGAGGAAATGGAGGACAGGACAAGGGGGAAGGATTTAAACTGACAGAGGGTGGGTTTAGATTAGACATTAGGAAGAAATTTTTCTCTCTGATGGTGGGGAGGTCCTGGTACAGTTGCCCAGAGAAGCTGTGGCTGCCCCATCCCTGGGAGTGTCCAAGGCCAGGTTGGACAGGGCCTGGAGCAGCTTGGGTTTGTGGAAGGTGTCCCTGCCCATGACAGAGGGTGGGAATCAGATGATCTTTACAGTCTCTTCCAACCCAAACCATTCTCTGACTCTGTGTCATTATTCCTGGTGCTCAGCCCACAGCCAAGCCTATTCCCAGGAGCAATAAAGGCGAGAAGGCAGTCATAAAACTGCAGTAATCAAATGTGAAAAGAACAGCCCAATTCATTAATACCCAGACAAGCTGATAGAGACATTCTTAATTATCAAATATTACCATGGAGTTCATTTTTACCTGAGTTGTTTAAGCCTGACCATCCTCCTTCCCTTTTCTTAGACACGTTGCCCTGGGGCAGCATTGAACATTTGTAATTAGATTCCTTCAATGGAGTTAATTATGAAGTGACAATAAAGCCTGAATGGTTCCCATTTTCATAAGTTTTATCTGGAAGGAAAAAACAAATCCTTTGTTTTGGTATCAATATTTGTAATTTTAAGTCTGACATGAACCTCGGGGTGTACTCTTGATACAAACAGATACAGACATTCATGTTGTATTATGCTGTACTTCTACTTTATATTGTATTATAATACTTTCACATTCTTTTATATAAACTTGCCTGCACAAACCTATCTATATACTGGAGCAGAGACAAGATTTCTCTTTGGGATGATCTCTAAATTAATTAATGAGTTTTCATCAAGTTGGTATCAGATCATAGCAACATCAATACTTTGCAGGTTCCAGGTTGACCTGGCATCTGGGGTAATTTGTTTTACATTTTATTATTATTACTATTAAAATTTAATTACATTTTAAATCTTATAACCCCAGCAGGTCCAGAGTGTCCCATGGAACGAGTCTGGATTCAAGAGGAGGGGACTTAATGTGGTTATTAGTGATGTGCTCCATTTTAAACAATGAAGTGTCCATCAACATGAAGTTAAATTTCCATTACAAATGAGTTAGCCACTTAAATATAACAAGACCCTGCATAAATAAAGGGCATGAGATTTTTGTGGCCATTATTGCCAGTTTAAGATCACTGTCTGATTTCATACAATTATTTGTCACCCTCTAGCTAAGCAATAACAGAAGGGAAAAGATGCTGAAATTTAAACAGGTCAAAATTAATGCCATGACTGTATTTGATAATTGAAAGTGTCACCTCCATTAGCTCACTCTAGTAACCAGGCTGGAAAAGCCAGCACCAGGAATGTCCAAAATCTCCACAATTTCCAGAGTAACAGTGATTAAGTAACAGGGCAATCCCAGACAGTGAAATAATTCCCAATTCAGAAGGGGAAATAAAAGCTGGTCAAGGGGATGCCGAGGGTGCAGAATGGGGGGGATGAGGGGAAAATCAAGACTATTTTGCTGCTGTTTCAGAGGGAGAATCTGCCCCAGGCAGCCCACAGAGCAGAGACAGCCCAGCTCAGTGCTGGAACATCAGGGATGTTTGCTGGGATCCACAAACTCCCCCCTGGAAGATCCAAACCTGCTGTTCTCCTGATGCCTTCCACGGACATGGGAAATGAGAGAGGGATCTAAGCCATCTGCATTTTATCTAACCTTTATTAAGCATCACTTGACCTTGTCAGTACTGATAAAGCCCTGCGAAGTGCATGCCAGATAAAATGTAATTTTTAATTGAGTATCCTTATTACATCTATTAACAAGGTGCAGATGAATACAAATGACCCCACGGTCGATGCTGTCGATTCACATTGAGGTTTCTTTTGCCTTTGCTGAGCTGAAGGAGTCAATAACCTCTCAAAGGGTGCACAGGGAGGGGAGATGTCTCCTGGCAGCAGCTGTCCTGCCTCCAGTGTCTATCCTACACAAGTAAACCAGCACAGGGATCAGCATCTCCAGGGATCTCCTGTAAAACACCCCACCTGTCTTTTCCAGCCCTTAGGAAAGCCCTGGGAACCTCAGACCAGTTCCTATTTTATTCTTGGTATAAATTTATAGTAACCCAAGGCACAGGTGAAAAACAGTCTCCTCCTTTATTCCCTAACTTACAAATCATGTGAAAATCCACTGAATATTGGGTGGTCACAAGCAGCTCCAGCACTGGAATGGTTACAGGACTTCCAGCAATTCCAGCCCACGGGATTGATCTGCAGAGGTTAAAATCCAGAGGTTTCAAGTGGGAGATGGCAGGATGTGGCCAAACTGCCTCCCTAAATGGTTCATGTCAAGATTTGCTCTCAATTTGAGGGAAATAAGACGAAATGACCTGCCTGAGGAGCAAACTGCTGCACTGACATGATATATTTGCATTAGCTTCAAACGGGAGCAGCTTCCCATCAACCCATCAGCTCCACACTCAAACAAGCGGATTCAGTGTCAAATGTCTATAAAAACTACATCTTGGGGCTGCACTGAACTCCCTGCTGTGATCCACAGTGTGCCAGGCCTTCCCCTTCTGGGTTAGATTTATCCATTTTAGTACCTAATTTAGAAAGGAAAAAAAAAAACCAACCAACCCTAAGTTCCTTGAGAAAAAGCAGTGAGACTTCTTGTTCCATATCCACATGTTTCTCCTTTAATGCTTCCTTAAGGGTCTCCATTTTTCTGTCACTTATCATCATCCAGAGTAATTTTGGGCTGTTAGAGAAAGTTCATTGCTGTAATTGCAACCATATTGGTCATTAAAGTTGACAGACAGCTGCTGGAGAAGTCACTTGCAGATTCCTGCTACTCAGCAGATGCCTCTCAGCATTTGCTGAAGTGTTGGCTTGGATTTATGAACTGGAAGCAAATGCATTTCACCTTAAGGACTGACAATTTCAAAGAGAGGAGAACACGAAGAACTCGTCCAGGTCTTTTGTTTGTAAACAGGGTTTGTCTGCTTCTGCTCTAACTAGAGTGGAAGTATCCAGTGTTTCCTCAGGTCCCTAAGATTGCTGATGTGCCCACTCCTGCCTGCAAGGATTGGGGACCCCCATCCAGCCCAGTTTCACTAGACAGGGATTATTTCCAGATGCTCCATCCCTGGAAGTGTCCAAGGCAAGGTTGGATGGGGCTTGGAGCAAGCTGGGATAGTAGAAGGTGTCCCTGCACCCAAAGAAGAGCTTTAAGATCTCTTCCAACCCAAATCCTTCTGTGATTTCTACTTACCCATTTCTTGCTGGTGGCATTCAGCAAGTAAATACTCCTCACTTTACACACCACATGTTAGAAAATAAGGACCCACTCAGGAGGGCTTTTTTAACCAGTAAACTTTATTTATATATAACAACAGTACAAAGTGAGTCCTTGGCTTGCAAAATAGGAGTGTTTCATATTTACAATAGGTACACAATAATATATTAGAATAATAACAAAACCCCCTTTTTTTTTTTCTCCTTGGAACATTTTTAAATACTTAAACTTTCTTACATTTTTTTTTCCACAACACTTGTAAAAACAACAAAAAACAGACAATCATCTTAAAAAAAAAATATAATACAGAACTCCAGTGTGTCAAGTATAATGGGGAGGGGAGGAGCCAGAGAACGATACGGTGGAATGGGTACGGATCCAAACCAGTTCCTTACTCCTGCCAATACACAAATCCCCTAAAACTGTGTTGGTTTTAAAGAGGGGAAGGGGGCAGAAGAAATCAGAATCTGTTCCATGGCTGATACCTCTACATTCTGTGATGGTTTTGGGGACTCCAGAAGCTTTAGTACCTGTACATTCCCTTCCCCTTCCTGCTTCCCACCGTAACAGCCCCCAAGGTGCCATTAACACCAAAACACTCATCAGTAAGAGAAGGACATTTTACTGCATTATCTTCTGAAGCCATGAAATAACGTGGCAAAATCAGCTCATTTACCTTCCAAAGCCTCCTGTTCCAGGTGCACCTTTGTGTCCATGGGATGGAAACACCGGATGGAGAAGCTGTTGCATAAACTTCCAAGCTTATTCGAAATAGAGGTATTAAAAAAAAAAAAAAATCTCAAAGGAAAGGCCATACAGGAGATCTCGTGTTTGATTTGGCAGCCTCAGGAGGCCCAGAGAGTTTGGGATATTGTCCATGCAGTTGGATGGACCCTGCAGGTCTTTTTGAGCGTGTTCTTCGGCGCTACAGGAACGTCTATTTGTTTTTTTTTTTTTGGGGATTATATTCCACTTTTACAAAGAAAGGAGAGGAATGGGTAACACGGGGGCAAAGGGGGATCTGAAAGAACAAGCACACAGACACCACTGTGCTCACAGCACAGCCAGAACACCTTCAGTTGAGCTGCTCCCGGTGCCACCCCAGCAACGTGGGCACAGACGCCCAGATGGGACTGGAGTGGCTTTTCCAGCAAGGGAGCAGTTGGGCTCTGCCATCCCACACTGCCCCGCTCCTTCACCTCCCCACCTCCCACCCTGGCATGGCCCCAGCACCCAGAGCACCCTGGGGTGCAGGACATGCACCTCAGTTTTCTTCCAGGAGCCAGGAAGGCACCAGGTACCACCCGCAGCTGGGACTCCGGCCCCTGTGCCACGCCCATGGAGCACTACCTGAAGCCAGGGGATTTCATGGAGAACAGAGGCTTTGCACAACCAAAATCAGTTTGAAGGCTCCCGTCCTCCTCCCCTGCAAAACTGATCCAACCAACCTCCCCTGACACTGCACACAGAGGGTTGCTCAGCTCAGCAGAGCCCAAACGGCACCTTCACAGCGCACACGGGGCATCTTCCACTCCAGTTATTTCCCCACCGAATGTCTCGTCAATAAAACCAAGCCCTCCTGCCCACGCAGGTGTCAGGTGGCCTCAGAGCTGTCAGCAGTGCTCTGCCTGCAGCCTCTGCCCCGCTGCTCTCAGTGGTGCTGGGTGAAGGCTGGGGTGGTTGTGGGTGTTTTCACCAAAGACACATTCGGGACAGATGGGACTGTGCTCCGAGCTCCACCTCACACACAACTTATGTACAATGTCACAGCTCCCTGCACCACTGGCTTGCGATTTATGGTACAAATGTGACTCTGAAATACAATGGCTGAAGCTCTGTGGCATTTTAATGCATCTTTGATGCCAGTTATTTACCCTTCTCTGAACATTTTTTCTTCTCTCCAGGGTACAGTCACACGTGAGCTCTCCCTGATGGCCCAGCTTTTTCAAGTCAGTCTATTTTAGTTCCATTTAGTTGGGCCAGCTGAGTCCCCATGACAGGTGAGCTCTGACAGCACAGGAAACTGGATGGAGAAGAGCCAGTGACAGGCAAGAACGTGCCTGGGCTGCTGCCAGGGACTGGGCTCGAGGCACAGGAGCATCACAGGGAGCTGCTCTGCCCTTTGCCAAGCTGGGTGAGGGCAGCAGGCAGGTCAGTGTTACTCATACCCACAGGCTGCTTGTGCCCACTGGAGGAGGGGAGTGCTCCCACCCCTTTCCACACAGGCTTAAACTACTCGCCCTGAGGGGCTGGGAGTCAGCATCGTTCACAAAGCAGCCCCAGAGCTTTAAGTGCTCTTGCTTTCGTCCTCCACGTGCCCACCCAAGTTGTTTCCTACATTATGACATTTTTGGTGAAGTCCAGTTGAAGGCAGGAGAGAGAACTTACGTGGGGACGGGCCATCAGGATTTTAAGACAGTGTGTTGAAGGCACTGCTGTGATGAAGGTCTCTGTTGCCACCACGTCAGGTGGCTGCACTCACCATCCTCAGAGCGTCACAGCACCGAGACCTGCAGGAAGGCATCATGTCCAGCACAGCCACATCCAGCCTCCTTCAGGGATAAACACATGGGATCCTGCTGGGATTCTCCCCACCAGCAGCGAGGCCGTGGCAGCAGTTTTGTTTCTCAGCGCTGGTCCCCGGGGTGGGTCCTCACGCAGCTGCAGGCTGGTCCATGCTGGATCTCACAGGGTTTCCAGCGCTCTGGCCGTGCTGATCCCTCCTGCCTCCCTTTACACATAAATTCATCCTTTATGGCAAAGTGTGGACCACTTGATGTCCACATCCTCTGTGCTCCAGTGGGCTGCAGCGCTCCACAGCGGGGCTCGCGCCGAGACAAGCTCGCCTATAAGTTGCACTCCTGTATGTGGGGTTTTTAATAAAGGCTTTCAAGGTGGAGAAGCGTTTGATTAGCACCTCGCTCCCCCTCGGAGTGGGTGCTTTGATAGCTCATGAGCAGAAGATTAAATGGAATTATTTAAGCGGCGACACCAGGCAGAGAGATTCCGGAAAAAATGACGTCTCCCACTTTGATGTCGGAATACCTGAAACGAGGTGAACTGGAGACTCTGAACACCAACCGACCTTGCAAGAGGAAGGGGGCAACGAGAGGGATGTGAAATCGTTTCATCTAAGGCAACTGCCCCCTCCTGACCAAACCTCGAGCCCGGCTTGCTGCAAGTGCAAAGAAAATGCTATTTTGAGATCTGAAGCTTCCTCTTCCCAAAGGAGTAATGGAAATGACGGATGCAAACAGGGCAATAGATTACAAGTGCTTTGCCCCAAGGGGATATGTTGCTTCATTCCATATAATTGCCTGTAAAGATCCATAATTAATGCCAACCACCACGAGTAGATACTTGGCAGGTTATTTCTAGGCCACCCTTCCAGCCAGCACCGTGATGTTCCCTCTGCTGTCCTCCTAATGCTTTTCCAGATGATGGAAGTGGAGATGTTTTTTCTGCTTCCTTCAGAAGTCAGTCAAAAGTACAAGAACTTACTGGTTTGCAAAGTGCTCCTGCTGCTCACTCTTTTCTCCTCTGCTCAAATTTTCCCCATAGCAAGGAAGATCAACTCAGTTGTCCCCTTCTCTCCTTAGTGCTCTCCCAGAGAATCCAGGGGATGTTTGGGGGCCTCCACCTCTGCTGAGAAAATACAGGGGAGTGGGGAATGACAAAACCTTGGCTTGTGGGGTGCTCCTGGCCAGAAGGTAGAGAGCAGGAGGAGGAAAACAAGCTTAAAATGGCTATGCAAAAGCCTCTCAAAGAGATGTAGAGAAGAGGACCACGAAGGCTGGCTTGGCTGTGGGGCAGGCACACGGTCCTCAGACCCAGGTGATGCAAAGCCAGGCCTCTGCTTTGGGCAGTACTCATATTTTGTGAATCCTGCAGAGATAACTCTTCAGACTGTGTTTGGAAACTGTTTGGGAACTATTTGGAGTTGCTCTCTTTGGGTTTCAGAGTACCATGAGAATTTGGTGAATGATCTGAGTACGAATACCCAAAACAACCAGCACAGCTAGAACACAGACCTGGAAATCCCTCAGTTGAGCTGTGTGATGGATCCTGGTGAGCAGCAGCAACAGAACCAGCAAAAAACCCCCAGGATTTCAAAGCCTGACCCTCTGCAATGTCCTGTGAGACTCACAGCAAAGAGCAGGCCAGGCTGGTGGCTGCTCCAATGCCATCCCTGGCACTGGGCTCTGTGATGCCCAACAGGACAACCCAGACATTTGCACATTTTCTGCCTTTGACATTAATTCACTGTGCAGGAGCAGGATCCCTGGGAAGGGAACTCCCCAGTAACAGGCAGTATGAACCCTGCTCTGCCTGGCAGTCTCTGTTTCTGACACTCTGTCCGTGTCTCAGTAAATCCAGTGCTCAGGCCGTTGTAAATGTCAAGAACTTATTGCACAAGGTCGATCACTGTCATCAGTATTTTCTTCCAGAATATTAACAGGGCCCAGAGAAACTCACAGGAGTGGATTGCCAAAAGAAAGCGGGCTTGGCATGGCTTTTACTGAACGGTAATTAAACCAACAGGTTTCCTGAGTATTTCTCTGCATGCTTTTCTCCCCTCTCCTGTTGCTGAACTGCAAGAGACCAAAAGCAGCAGCTCTCTGGTGCCCAGGGAGCCCATGGTGACCCTGCTGGGCTCCTCTAGGCAGGAACAGTAGAGGAGGAGGATGGATATGAAAATGGATTTTCCTTCGACACACGCTGGCTGCAAACTAATCTCCCAGTCTGGTGTGGCCCTGCCCAGGCAGGCTGAGCAGATGCCAGGAGCTATTTTGGTGCCACTGCCAAACCCATGCAGTCAATACTTGTATTTCCATTAGACCTCATCACCCTGCCCTCCCCGCTGCAGCCTGCACACATATCAGTATTTACTACAGAGAGAAATATTTACAGCGTTCCTTCCCCTCCTGGCACTCTACAAAGGGACACACATAAGCTTTGGTGTCTTTGAAAGTAATAACACTCACAAACATTTGCCTGTCACTGGCCACAAGAACACGTGCTGGGGGGGCCAGCAAGGGACTGAAGAGAACAATGAGACGCCGAGACAGAGACACGACAGCAGCACTGGCTGGCCTGGGGGTGCTGGTTAAGGTTTGCCCTTGCCTAGAGCAGAGATTTCTTTCCCCTTTCCAGTGGAAATACAAGTCCTGACCCTGGGCAGCGTGGAAGAGAAACCCAAAGGGAGCCTGTGCCAACTGGCTCTGCACGGCAAACAGAAGAGCAACAAATGTCTCCTCTTGTGATGTCCAGGCTTTTCAAGTATCACCCACTGTAAACATCGGGGCTTTGTCGGGTTTTACTGCAAGAAATGGGAGATGGCTGCAAGAAACCCCCCAAAATCAACCCTGGAGGCGTCATCCCAGCTCTGCCCGGGGGGGCGAGGGCCGGAGGCCGGCTGGGCTCACGTGGGACCAGCAATGGGATACTGGATGGGTCACTGCTGGATCACCTCAGCCATGCTGGGCACTGCCAGATCACTGCTGGATCATCACAGTCTTGCCAGGCACTGAGTGGATCACTGCTGGATCATCCCAACCATGCTGGACACTGCCAGATCACTGCTGGATCACTGCCAGATCACTGCTGGATCACCTCAGCCATGCTGGACACTGCCAGATCACTGCTGGATCACCTCAGCCATGCTGGACACTGCCAGATCACTGCTGGATCACCACAGCCATGCCAGGCGCTGAGCCCATCACTGCTGGATCACTGCAGCCACTGCGAGGTGGAATGGGGGTAGAAATGGGAAAAAAAGCATTTAAATTCCGATCTTTCCTCCTTCAACAGCAAATGGGATTTAAAAAAAATATATATATTGACACTATATAAATACATTGATAAAGCTGGATTTCAGGACAGGTCGGACGATCTGATGGTTTTGCAATTCAGGTAAAGTTCCTTCTAGTGCCTACAAGTTACTCAGCCACTGAACTATTTTGGGGCTAAACTGCTATTTCACTTTGTGTAGAAAGGTGTGGTGCAAACTTGTGCTCATGTTGTTTTATAAGATCCCAAAAAGAAGACGATTTCGGTTTTCCAGACGTTCCAACTGGTGTGAGAGTCCGTTCGCAGAATGTCTGAGCCGCGTCCTCAGGAGGCTCTCGAGGACAGGATTCAGAGCTGATCCTTGTTGCCAGGATTATCTCTATGGCCTCTGTGGTTTTTGCTCTATTTTTTCTTTTTTTTTGTACTTTTTCTTCCTTTTCTTAAAAAAAAAAAAAAAAAAGCCTTTAAATAAAGTTTTATTTTCTAATATACATCAAACGATTTTCATGCAAAGCAGCAGTCATGGAGACATCCAGACTTTCCAGGTTCCTTCTTTCCGTGTATGCTCAAAAAAATGATCCACCTTGATCGGACTTGGATTGAGATGTTTTATCTTCTTCTCTTCCCGCCTTTCAAACCGGTTCCTACATGATTTTTGAGCGCAGTCAGTCCTTGGGCCAGTCTCTGTTTGCTCCAGAAGAGCCTTGGTATTTGTGTTCAGTGCCTTCCTTGCTTGTTCTCCCTCTGAATTCCCGAGAGTCCATGTGATCCTCTGCCCTTTGCCGGCCTTGAGCACCACGACCTTTCTTCAGCTCTCAATAGACATGGCCCCAATAAGTTGCTCTACTTTGTAAGCCAGCCGCTGCCTACGTGCCTGTTCATCCTGCTCCAGAGCCCCGATGAGCTGGGGGAGAGAAAACAAAATGGGGGGGGGGGGGGGAAAAAAAAAAGAAACAGAGAAAGAAGTCAGTGTGTGAGAGAGGGGGTGGAGGAGGTGGGTGGGCAGCGAGATGTGAGTAACTCGAAATGGGGAGGTGTGAAACTCAAATAAACGGCGAAGCGACGCGCCTAGCGCTTCACCATCGCTGTTGGTTTGCTGGACCGCTTGATACCTGCACAACAAAATCATTCCCACCCTCCCCTGTACCTTGGACTCCAACACTTCTTGTCTCGTTTAGCACGGAACTGATGAGATTTTTTTTTTAAACCCTTTAATCGGAAAATAGCCGCGGCATTGTGTGGCAAACGCATACACGCAATTAAATGACAAAACCCTCCCTTTTAACGGACGTAATTGCAAAATAAGGTTCTTCTCGCAGCGAAATGAAGGGGTGGAACAGATGGCGAGAACTTGGTTTCAAGTGATGCATTCATTAAAGGAGCTCACGCTGCCAGGGTGTGTTTGCAAAAAGGAGTCTGCGTCACTGCAACGTGGGATTTGGACCGCGCTCTTCCCAGAAGACAGGGATGTTTCTGGGGAGCTTCAGTGGGTCATGATGATTTTCCACTGCATTAAGGAGCAGGCTGCACCAGGTGCATGCCAAGGCTGAGGAATCCAGGTGCTCCCACAATATTTTACCTCTCAGTCCTCCTGGGATTGTGCTGCAGGACCCAAACCTCTTTGTGCACAAAGAGAACAGTGGGACAGCAGCGCTGCCAGCTATGGCCACGCTGCACCAAGGGCAAGGGGAGCTCTGGGTGGCAGCAGGAGGGATCACTGCACAACCCATCACTGCACTAAAGTGCATCTGGTCTGTCACACACACGCCGTGGGACAGCATCACCCCAGGGGACACCATGGCCCCAGGGAACACCATTGCCCAGGGGACACCATTGCCCAGGGGACACCATCACTCCAGGGGACACCATTACCCCAGGGGACACCATCACTCCAGGAAACACCATTACCCCAGGGGACACCATGGCCCCAGGGAACACCATTTCCCCAGGGGACACCATTGCCCAGGGGACATCATCACTCCAGGGGACACCATTACCCCAGGGGACACCATAGTCCAGGGAGCACCACTGCTCAGAGGACATCACCACCCCAGGGGATACCTTTCCCCACGTGACACCATTACCCAGGGGCCACCATCACTCCAGGGAACACCATTTGCCCAGGGGACATCATTTGCCATGGGGAGACCATCACCCCAGGGAACACCATTTGCCCAGGGGACACCATTTGCCCAGGGGACATCATCACTCCAGGGAACACCATTTGCCCAGGGGACACCATCACTCCAGGGAGCACCATTTGCCCAGGGAACACCATTGCCCTGGGGGACACCCAGGGGACATCGCCACCCAGGGGACACCCACCTCTTCGCTGTACTTGCTGACATAGGAGTAGATCTCGTTGAGGGCACTCAGCATGTTGAACTCCACGGCGTGCAGGCGCGACTGCTCGGCGAGGTAGGCGTTCATGTCCTGGTCGCTGATGGCGGGGAGCTTGGCGATGTCGGCGTAATACCTGCGGGAAGGAGAGGCCAGGGGAGGGCACGTGAAACACGGAGGTTCGAAATGCTCCTTTTCCCCTTGGGATTTAAACTGAGCTCTGCGGGGAAAAGAACATCATTTCGCTTCATGTTTGAGTCTAGAAAACAGGACTGTGGTCTGTAACAAGCTGAAAATAAGAGCAGCGATGCTCGGCGGGGCTGCAATCATCGATGATCCCTGTGAGTCCCTTCCAGCTGCTCTGTATCCCCTTCCCAACATTCTATTCTGTGATCACCGGCCATGGGAGCTTGGGCAGGAGCAGAGCACCCCCCACCCACATTGCTGCCCACCTCTCCACCCAGCTCTTGTAGCTGGGGATGTCCTTGGCGTACAGCAGCTTGTTGGAGGGGGAGTCCTTGCCCAGGCGGTGCTCCGAGGTGGAGCAGGAATCCATGAAGGTCTGAGCCACGACGGAGAGGCAGGCGTCCGTGATGCTGCCCTTGTGGATGTCGAACACGAACTGGGGGTTTTTGATTACGTTCACCCAGAATCGGAGCGGGAGGCTGGAGGGCAAGCGAGAAACAAAATTAGATGTGAAGACAAAGGCTGGGAAAGGGCACATAGAATCATAGAATCATAGAATCAGCTGAGTTGGAAGGGACCTCCGAGATCATCAAGTCCAACCCTTGACCCAACCCCGCTGTGGTTTCCAGACCATGGCACTGATGCCATATACAGTCTTATCTTAAAAACCTCCAGGGATGGAGAATCCATCACTTCCCTGGGTAGCCCATTCCAATGTCTGATTACCCTCTCTGGAAAGAAATTTTTTCTAATATCTAACCTAAAGCTCCCCTGGCACATGCTGCAGATTGTGTTCCCAGGCAGAGCACGAATGGTGGGAAGAACAGGAATAGAAGGATTTGAACAGGAGCTGGGCCAGGAGCATCAAGCACCCATTAGCCCAGTGCTGCCCAGATTGCTGGTGATGGATCCTGCCATGCCTGTGCTGGGCACTGCTGCCCTGGGAGCCGCCCGGGCTCTGATCCTGCACAGTGGAGGAGCTGCAGGGCAGGAGGGCAGGCTGGCTGTGCCAGGGCAGAGCTGGGCAGTGTTTGGGGGTTCTGGGGGAGCATCTCTGTGAGAAGCCCATTAAGCTGAGCTGGTCAGAGTGGATGGATGCAGCACGGGGTGAGCCCGGGGCAGCCGCCCCTGTGCTAATCAGCCGCTGCCCGGCCACGCCGCGGCCCATCATCCACGGGAGGTGCAGCAGCATCAGAGGCTTTGTCCCCAAATCCCGAGGCCTTTGCAATCAAAGGGGAATTATTATTCCTTTTTTTCTTCGGCTGTATAGCAGGATCAAAAAAACAGCTGCTGCTTTCTATTACCTTTCAAGTCTCAGCTCCCTCTGTCTCCCCAGCTCGCTGAAGGCTGCAGCCTTAACTCTTGCTGCACTGCAGGCGAGAGGCTCAGCCACATCCCCAGCATGCCCAGCTCCCTCTTCCAAGCCTCCATTTGCTTTGACCTGCTCCAGTGGCACAAGCCTGCTCCCATCTCCCCACCAAAATTCCCTTCCTGGGAATGCTGCAGCTCCCACCATGCCCCGGGGAGAAGGAAAGGCCAGGGTTCCTGGGGTGTGATGCCTCTGGTAGGCCAAACTCTGATGGTCATTGTTTCCTTTTTTTTATTGCTTTAAGAGGTCTCATAATTTTTACCCCAATAACTCCTTCTTCTAAGGCTTTCAAGGAATTGTTTTGAGCTTCCCACAGCCTTAGTGGGGAACCCGGCTTTTGCAGTCAGGATGATTAGAGGCTTTTTAAGCCATGAGGGACTCAGGGGGGGAAATACAAAGTCTTTAGGAAGCAACTATTTGTTGTGCTTTTTTTCCTTCCTCACAGAGGTAAATTTACAACCCATGGAGCCTTTAATCCTAAAATAACAGCAGAGGCAGAGATGTGAGAGCTGTTATTGTTTGGAGAAGGCCGATGGCACATGGGGCTGGCTCCTTCCCCCCGTGCTACCTCCTCCTGATGCCCAAATGCTCCAGCTGCTGCCTGAAGTGATGGGAAAGGTGCAGCCACTGGCTGAGCTCTCCCCTCCCAGCCAGTCCTGGCATTTTTGTGCCACAGCAGGGTTGTGCAGGCAGGGTGGTGTGGGCATGGAGCCCTGCCTCCCACTCACAGACTGGCTCTTTCCATAGTGTGGGAATCAGAGGCTGGTTCCAGCTTCCACCTGGGCAGAGGACTCAGAGATAGCTGGGCTTGTGCTTTAATATCCTTCCCTTCCAAATCAGGATATTCTGTGATTCTGTGATTCCATGAAAACAACATTGGCAGCCCAACCCAGGATCAAACCCCACTGCCACATCCACTGGGGCAGCATCAGTGCTGGCTGAAAAGCATCTGCACAGCTTTGTGGCACATCTCATGCTCTGAAGCTGCATGGCTCCACAGAATCACAGAATCAGCCAGGTTGGAAAAGACCTCTGAGATCATCGAGTCCAACCTTTGACCCTACACCACCTTGTCTTTTTAAATCTCTCCAGGGGTGGTGACTCTGCCATCTCCCTGGGCAGCTCATTCCAATGCCTGATCACTCTTTCTGTAATGAACTTCTTCCTAATGTCCAAGCTAAACCTTTCCTAGAGCAGCTTACAACTGCGCCCTCTTGCCCAACTTGGTGCTCCCCAGCCTTCCCAAAGCAATCCCCCACCTCTGTTCCACCCTAGGACACAGCTGATTGCTCAACACTCGGACCTGCCTCCCCCTCTTACCAATTGCTCTTCCACGTGTGCCTCACATCCGTGTCGTGGATGCCGTGCTTGTCCGCCTGCTCATCCAGGAAATCGAACATGTACTTGATGGCGAGCGGGAGCGCGCTGCCGCGGTGCACGGTGCTGAACAGCGTCTCGAACAAGTCGTCCACGAACTTCTGCAGCGTTCCCTAGAGGCAGCAGCAACCCAGGAGGTGAAGGGAGGGATGGGCACACGCTTGGCCAAGCAGCCAGATGTTACCAGCCCCTCAAAGTGCTGCCATGGACCCCACAGGAATAAGCGAGGTTGGGGTCTTTCCGAGCGCTGACTGCTCTGGAGGATCCCCGGGGAAAGCTCTGGCCTGTAGCTACTCAGGGCTGAATTTGCTCTTTATTTCTAACCTGAAACCATTTTTTTTTTTGGCTTTCCAAAGCACATCTGTGTCTCATCCACAGTGATGAACATGGGAGGAGAGACAGGAAAGCTCTCTCGGTCAAGGAAACCGGGTAAATATTTGCAGGCACTGCTGCAAATTAAAACACTCTTTGTGTTTTAATACTGCGCAAAAGAATGAAGAATTGCAGCAACAGCCTTGAGTGTGGGGAAATCTGGGCTGTGGTTCTGTTGCTGCTCCAGCACCCACCCAGTCCCAGGAAAACCCAGCAGGGCCAGACCTCCTGGGAGCTGAGCATCATCAGGGGCTGCACAGGACCCCTGGGAAATGTCTGTGGATGAACCCCACTGTGTGTTTCCCATGTGAATCCAGCACATGGCAGTTACCTTTGTGGCCAACAGCCTGGTCAGGTAGATCTCAGACACCATCTTACTGCCCCGGTCTCCCTCCTTCTGGTCTCCATGGTCGTGGTTTTTGACCAGGTGCCAGACCTTGACCCCGCTCTCCAGGTCGGGGGTGATCATGGGGGCCCGGGAGCGCAGGCTGTCGGGGCTGCCGGTGTAGCGGAAGGTGGAGTCTGGACGATGGGGAGAGAAGTTGGTCACACTCAAAGCAAACCCCTTTTCCACTCCCCTGTCTCTTCTCAGTGACACCACCACGTTTGCTAACGCCCAAACCACCTGCACTGGCTTTTTTACGGGGCGATGAAATGTAAAACCACCCAGGCACCAAGAAAATGTTGATATGTGTTGGTCTCCACCAAATAGTCCCTCAGACTTGGGCTTTTCTCTGTTCACACTCAGACATGGACTTTTCTCCATTCACATCCTTTGCTTATGTGAACTCATCATACAGGCCCACACAAGATTTGTCCATGAGTTCACACACATTAACCCTGGGCACCAACTCCTGCAGCACCACAGTCTTGTGTTTGTCCAGTATTTTGCAAATAATAAAACCCTGCCCAGCACAACGAGCACAAAGGCCAGAAGAAACTGCTGGTCTTGTCCTTGAGGCTTTCAGGAGAGCAGCAAGGGCTCAAGCTGAGCATCAACTGCAGAGCCCAAGGCCAGTCCTGCACTCCAGCCGTGCCATCCGTGGCTGAGCAGGTCCAGCCTCCTGCTGTCCCTCCTGCCCTGAAGGGAAAGGGGAGCTCAACAGGAGACAGACAACAGTCTTTCCTTTAATTGCTCAGGAACCATGGAGGGATGTGACATATATTTATTTACATATTTAACTTCCCAAAGAATGTGCCTCCCTGGATCCCATCCACGGTGTCTCCGAGATGAGACACGAGGCTGAGGAGCCTGGCTGTGCCTTGCTGGATTTTTTCCTCTCACTAAATTTCTTTGTTCTCTGGAAACCTTGTGGATCTTCTCAAGTTTAGCCTTCAATTCACTGCTCAACCTCCTAGTCAAGAGTACGGGGATCAATCATAAATCAGCCGAGGGAAATACTTGAGTCATTACCAAACTAGCTGGATTTTCATCCCTGATTAAGGCTTAGATAAATGAGTACTCCAACTGATATAATTAAGGAGACAGACAAAGGGACAGCTAGGAAAGCATCTAGTAATTCTATTTTTAAACACAGCTCCGTACTGATATATAACAGGGGAAGTAAATAAGTATCTAATTTAAATTCTGTCAGCACAATTAGAAATATTAATCTTAACATGAGCAATGATCGCTCACATTGGTAGTTTGCAAAAGCTTTGCCAGCTGACATAGATCAATGAGCTGTAAGGACTCAGGTTGTGTGACCCAGCCTTGGTTTTTCCATCCCCTGAAGTGTGGGATGTGCTGGACATTCAGGGCATCTACACCACGCAGGGAGAAATGCCTTTTCTCCTGGATTTTACCTAAAGACCGGCCTATTTTTGGCTCCTCAGAACCCTTGCTCAAGGAAAAAAAAACCAACATTATTTTGGGAGCCATAAACAAGAGGAGGAGACGGGTTTGTCAGGAGACTTTTTGCTTGTAAAACACTCTGCGAAATGAACGATAATGAAAGATCAGCGCACCAGAGATTTTGCCACTGCTGCCTTTTATGGAAGTATATTATTACTATTATTGTGGATTTAGTGTTATAAATGCACACCTGGCACCTCACAGACTCATTTACTCAGGCTGCAGCATCTTCAGGGACCCTCTGGAATGTGCTGAGCCCTGCTATTATGCAAATCCTGAATTCCCAGGTGGGCACATCCAAGCGCTCAGTGCTAAGATTGCTGTTCCCCATTTTGACCCATTAGCAAAGAACTCAGGATCCTCCACTCAGAGAAGGGAAAGGTGAAGGACTCATGCTTTTCTGTCAGGCAGGGGACATAAAGCTCCTTTCCTGCAGTGAGAGCCCCAGAGGGGCTCTGCATCACCCACCCCCTCTGAGACAAACAACTTCCCTGGACTTTCCCAGGACCCACATTCCCAAAGGCTACTCATGTGCCTGGCATTCCCTTCTCCCTCCTCTCAGCTTCTCTGGTCTTTTTGCTGTTCTGCTCACAGATGCAAAAGCCTTTGCAAGGGAACACCAGCAGCCAAGGACATTTTCCTGTTGGGCACCTGGGTGTTCATTTTGGCTCGTGTGGGGAGGTTTTTTGGGGGAATCTGCTGCTTTCCCCCCCCCTAATTCCTTGCAATACCCACCATTTCCCATCCCTTCTTACCATATCTGCTGATAGATGTCCGGGATATACTGGCAGAGGCAGGAATATTGTAGGAGGAGGTTTGCTTGGGAACGAGAGCCACGACTGAGCGGTCGGACACCTGGGGAGGCAAAGGAGGAGGAGAAGATCAGTGGGATCCACCCTCCACATTGGGATCACCAGCTGCTGATCCAGCAAATCCTGGGCAGAAGGGTGCCAAGGGTGGGCACAGGGAGCCACCCAGCCCTGGCAGAGCCCTGTGCTGGGTCTGCAGCAGCTCTACAGCCAGAGCCTGAAGGAAAGGGGTGATAAATCAAAGATTTATTTTTTTATTTGAAGATGCTTTTGGTCGTTCTGATTTAAGATTATGCTTTATCCAATAAAAATGAGAATCTCAAGAATTGTTGTGATCCAATTAAAGTAACAATGCAGAGGGAATAAAAGGGCTGTAATAACGTTATGGGCCATAAAACATTCCTATTAAACCATTTTTTATTTTAGCAATTTTTACGAACTTTAAAAGTTTGATTTACAGCTGAGCAAGTCATAAAGCCATCTTTCAGGGTATTTAATTGTTATCCCTTTATTGCTCCAGAGAAGGAATTAAACACTGGGAAGTCAAACTATAAATGAACATTAGTGCTAACAAGGTTTTGTTACAGCAGATTTTAGTAGCCATGTTTAATTTTATCCTCCCTATAAATCCAGTAGTCACTGGAAGTTTTCTAACTTATTCCCCTTAATTAAGAATCTGCAGGTTTCCAGGGAATGGGCCTGAGTGGCTTTTAATTTTGAACTTGTGACCTGTCGTGCAGCACAGCAAGGGAGCAGAGAACAGAGTCACCACAGCCTGTCAGGGCCCACCCAACACACTTTTTAGAGGATCTGCACAAAAGAAATGCCTCTTCCTGCTGGAGGAATTTCTTTTGGGGCTAAATCCTCCATTATTTGCCAGGAGTCCTGTGAGGGACTCAGCAATGACCCTGTGCATGGGATGCTCCAGGTGTTTTTTGCTTCCCCAGCCTCTCCAGGTGTTTTTGCAACACCTGCAGCCACAAGGTGAGCTTCACACAGTGCCCTGTGCTGCCTTTCAAGGCCATTCAGATGAAAGGTTTCATGGAAATGTGAGTTATTATTGTTGCTGGTGATAGTGGAAATAATAGTCACTTGTGGTTCACGACACAAAAGTGAGATATTTCTAAGAAAAAACACTCCAAACACCTCCATTATTTCCTTGTCTGCTCCTGCCCCACTTCATGCAACTTATTAAGTCAATGGAAGAAATGATCAGTGCTGATATTATTTTCTTAGGCCGTTCTTAGCTGCCACTCCAGCTCAGTTCCACCAGGGAGAAACCCGAGCCCGGGGTGCTCCCATGGAGGAGCGGCTCCATTTCCACCAGGGCTGTGGTTAACTGGGAGAGAGGCATTAAAAATTCCACACAGGCACACACACATAAGAGCACTCTCACTCTCTAAATTTTGGGTCGAATGGCTCTTGTCAGCTAAAAAACCACCAGCGTGCAAATTAGCATCAGATGTAACACGCATTCGTTTCCCATCTCGCTCCGCCGCTGCCACACTCCCAGAAAGCCCCAGAGACGCCCCGGGAGCTGGCTGGCTGCTTTACAACTTTATAAATATTCTGATTATTCTACAAGCTGGAATACGTGGTGCACAAAACACCTTAAAGAGAGGAGAAATAAAACCTGGAGCGGGGAGGTGGGAGCCCGGGCTGCGCCTGCGTGGGGCAGTGGGGACGCAGAGAGGATTCCAGCTCTGCCACCCTCGGCTCCAGAGTCTCATTTTCCACACAGATCTTCCCTTTGTCCTTCTAATTTTCCCTTTAAAACAGTTTTTTAGCCTCTTGGCCTCTCCAGACTCACAGTGGCTGACAGGTATTCATGCTCTGCTGCCTCTGAGTTAACCCTGCGTGAGCCACTGTAAATCATTTAATATTAAATTCAGTGTTTCATTTTTTCTTGAGCGAAACCACACGGGGTGAGACTCTCCCGTGGAGTTTAATAGCCATGAAGCCAAAAGGATATGACACAAATGTAATATAATTCCTTACCACATACAAAAGCTCCAGAGAATTTAACAAAGAATTACACCTATTTAAGCCATACATCTATTTTTATAAATGAAGAAATAAGCAGCAGGTGTACAATTCACTGCATAATTTTATAAAGTGGTTGAAAAATATTAGAAAGATGAATATTTCTCTTTAAATCCAATTTGGTGTTGTATGCAAAGGCTTTCCATGAAAAATCCATTTGATCAGTTATTATATTTTCGTCATTCTAATGCAGAAAACAAATGTAATAGTGTCAAATCCAGCAGACAGGGGTGGAGCTGAGAAACTCTTGGAGTTAAATAACTGCCCTCTGCAGAGCCCTCAGGGCACAGGGAGGAGGAAGGTGGTTTGGAGCCCTGGAAATGCAGGAAATGGGGCTGAGGAGCAAAGGGATCCCAGGAATCAGGAGCAGGGCAGGGCTGGGAGGTCCAGGGGTGTCCTGCAGCCTCCCAGGTGAGAGTATCTCTCCAAGAGACACACCCGGATGGAGACACGGGCTGTGCATCTCCAACCTCCACGTGCAAACCCAGAGATCCCTTTGCCTTCAGCTCAGAATAAAGACAAGACAGCTCTGAATAAAAGATGGGCAGAGCTTTAGAGAGCAAGCTTTCATTTTTTTTTTCCCCCAGAAATTTAGAAATCATCTTCACAAGTCCTCTGGAAATCTCCATATATTTTAATGGCTTGAACCACACCTGTTTCACGGGTAACATTCCTGTTAAATGGTGAGACAGCAGTACTTGGAACTCAAATGATTTTATACCCTCTTTAAGCTGTGCCTTTGCCCACGTATTTGTTTTACTGTGTAGTCCTGGAGCATCTGTATTTTTGATACCTAATAAAAACATTTATTGCTCCAACAGAAAAAAGGAAAAAAACCCAGAACCTGGTAGGAATAGCAAATATATATATATATATTGCTGTTTGTTTTTGGCAAAAGCCTTGCCTTGACAAGATTTCTGCTGCAGTGAAGAGAAGTTGGCTCCTTTTTAATGAGTGAAACAGCTCAGTTGGGCTGTGCAGAGCTCGGGCCAGAGTAAGAAGACACGTGGCATCTACCTGGTTAGATGTTTGGTGGCAAACTTCTCCTTTCTTCCAGAGCACAGCTGACATTCAAATGGCAGGAAGAGCTGCAGCATCTCAAGTGCTTGCAAGGGTTTTGTTTATTTTAAGGGTAAGCTTGTGGCTCAGCTTTTCCCACAGGCACTAAAATGAAAGTGCTCCCTCCCCCAGGCAGCCACCACACATCAGACAAGCACAGCTTTCACTTGTGACTTCCTCACGATGACTTTTAAAGATCAAGGCATAATAAAGTCTCGCTGCTTCCCTGCATGTTGGTTAATCCCTTGCAACTGTCAGGTAAAACAGATTTTAGGAACAATGGAATTAATCTGCACAACTCCTGTGACATTTTTACGGCGATCTGTGTTTAAATCCTGGGGGCTGCTTGCCAGAGTTGACCCTCGAGGTTCTTTTTAACATGCACGGTGCATATTTATGCCATTCTCCTGCCTCGCTCCCTGATTACATGGCTCCTGTCAATACTGGCTCCCATTCAACTCACACAGCGTGAGTCAGGCTGATGGACTGGAGATGGTGTATAAACAGGGAAAGATGCCAGATTAAATACTAAACACTTCTGGGGAGGGAGTGATGGACAGGAGTAGGTTACGGGTCCCAATTAATGCAGTTATCCTCTGCTGCAGACAGGCTTTGAGGAAAAGCCTTTGATTCCCTGAAACCAAACCTTCCTCAGCCCCCTCTTTACCTCTTTCACAGAGCAAGGAGCCCTTTCCAACAGGCACTGCCCAGAAGTTAAAGATGGCAACAATTCCTTAGGCCACCTCACCCACCCCGACTGATGCACGACTGAGCATCTTCCCTGCCTGGCTTCACTTTATGTGACTTCAGTGACAAACCTCCTGAAACCTGACTTGGGGATTAAAGAGGTTTGATGTCAGGAAGGAGCTCTTGATATTCCCCTTTTGTTGACCTGGCCTCATCCTGTACCCCCCCCCAGCACTCCCTCAGCCCTCCTGTGTGACAGCATTTGAAGTATTTGCTCCCTTTCCCTTTTTCACTCCCCGTAAAATGCCCCAAAGTCAACACACAGGAGGAACATGAGTATGAGAGAGAAGCTGCTGCTACAGCTTGTGCTTTGCATGAGACCAGTGGCGTTTGCAAAGCTCTGAGGGAAGGCAGAGACTCCCCCTCCTCCCCTGCTGCACTCCTGGTTGTCTCAGACCCCCCACCCAACGACCTGAGCCCCCCTGGTCACCCCTCCCCTGGCCCCACATGCCCAGCAGTGGCAGCTCAGCCCTCACCACTGCTCCCTCCGTCTCCCTCCCACGGTTGGCAGGTTTAATTTAGCCAATTTTCAACCCTGCTGGTTCCTTTGAGATCCATGTCAAGGTTACTTTCCCACCTAATGCAGAAGCACATTGAACCCTTCTGGTTTATCACACAAACGTGACCTCCCTGTCTGTCTCGGCAGACGAGACGCTTGGGAATCAACGTCCTGCTTTTCTTTCCTTCCTCCTGGCAGCTTTCTGGGAGCTGCTTTCTGTCAGCTGGGGCTGCTTCCCTACCTGATAGTGCATCAAGGTGTTCAGGCGCTTCCAATCTCCCTCGATCTTGGTGGTGATGTCTTCATCCTGCAGGACCACGCGGGCGATCCGGCCCTGCCGCCACTCTGTGGGAGAGGCAAAAACCAGGCACACACCACGGTCAGAGAGGGGCCAAGCTCTGCAAAACCCACCAAGAATCCCCAGTCAGCCTCTCTGATCACCCCCCTCCTATCAGGGAGGGAAGCTCCTACCCAAATCCATGTCCACAGCCCTTGGTCTTTGGGAATACGGGACGTTTTTGTACACGGCATCGAGGATCTTCTCCTTGACTTGGGTGATGGTGTCACAGTTCAGCACCTTCACGGGGATCTCTGGACTGTTCTCATTATCTGGGTTCACACAGTTTAGGATCTGGAAGAGAAGGAGAAACACCCCATGCTCTAAAGGATGAGCACCCAGGAGAAATGTAACCCCGTGTCACAACAGCCTTTTCTCATTAAAAAACCCCACTGCAGCCCTAATTGCTATTGCATCAAGTATATTTATATCATTATTTTTAAGATGGGAGTCCTGGATGTCCACATTCAATACCCAAGGGAGATAAAACATTCCCCTCAAACCTGCCTTTCCAAAGGCATGGCTCAGGTTATTTACACCAGAAAATTAGGGATGCACCTGACTTGGACACAGGTTTCTATTGCACTGGCAGCACTCAGACCTCACAGAAGTGTCCCAATCACAAGGTCAGCAGAGCTCACAGGGGAGGGACAGCAGTGATTCCCTGGCAGCTCCTCCAGCATCACTCACCAGAGTCTTGTACTCGATCTGCTGCCGGATGAGCTTGTCCTCGCTGAGGGAGTAACGGGCTTCTCCTGTGATGGCATCAATGGGGCCTTTCTCCATCTGCTGCTTGATGGCACAGTAGAGCATGAAGAGTGGCTCTCCAGCACATTCCTGCACGAGAGAGGGACAGCAGAACTGACACAGAGGTGATGGTGCCTCTCCTCTGGGGCCACTGGCCTGCAGATGGGTTTGGCACGTGATTCCTCCCAGCAGAGACACGGTCCCACTCACTCCTCAGCACATGTACAACCCAGGTTTGGCCCCCAGCAGCTCCTGGAGAGGACAGCCAACCCCATGAGCTCCACTGCTCCACGGGTTTGCTGTCTTTGGCAGGGTAAACCCCTCCTGAATCTATGTGGCTGTAAAAAAATGGAATTTGATATCTTGATCTCGTTGTTCGCTCCCACGAAGCAAATTCTGCAGGGTTTCCAAAACCACAAATTAAGTTAAAAAATATGGAAGCTTTGGGAGATGTGAGAATTTCTCCTAAGTACTAAAGAGCTGTAAGAGAAACTCTGTGGCATGGGAATAACACCAGGAGACCTGAGGGCTGAGGAAGGCTGTGACCATGGAGCAGCATCCCCAGGTGTTGGCACCTCCAACAAATTTCCACCTCCCCTGTCTTGCTACTACATCTTTTAACTTGGAGTCTGATGGAAGAGTTTCATGCCCAGATCCTGCCCCCCCAGGGATGGCAGGTGGGTGAGACAGCACAGTGACAGGGTGGGTCTGTGCTCCATCCCTCCTTACCTTGAGGAACTTGTGGAGGAGGAAGGCAAACCAGTTTGTCAGCATCTTCTCAGCCACCGACTCGGTCCTGGGGGGAAACCAGGAGGACACACATTACACCCAGAGCCTGGCACAGCTCCGTGGTGCTCAGGACCAGGATTCCAGAGCAGCAGGATGTGGCCAGCACTGTCCCCTCTCCCTGCATGGAGCTGACAGCAGCTTGCCCAGCTGACAGCCCATGACAGCCCTGATGGGGCTGGTGACAGGGAGTCTGGTGACACTCAGCTCCTTGCACGTGGTGCAAATTACAGCCTGGCTCAGTAAATCACTGGGATTTGCGGCAGTTCCTGGCAATCAGGGACAGCAGAGTGACAATGGCGGGGAAATTGCAGCTTTCTCCCCAGTCCCACCCAGTGTCCTCTCCCCACATTGTGCCCGAGATTATCTCTAATTTAAATACAATGGCTCCTAATGATAGTTTTTAATGCCTGCTCTGCGGGACCCAGAGACTCTCCTTAAAGCACCGCAGTCCCTTTTCCTGGCACAGGATGGCTGCGGTGGTGGCAGGGAGTCTCACAGTCCCCAACCCATGCAGGGAAGAGCTGCCTGTGCTGCAGCCTGGCCAGCTGTGAGCAGGACCCTGGCCAGCCTGGCCCAGCACCACCAGCCTTCCCCTCAGCCACATCTGACACCACGATCTGGTCCAAATTCCAGCAAGCAAAGAGGGATGAACCCAATACCCTGCTCTCTGCAGCATCCTTTCCTCTGGGCACCGTGCTCCCTCTGCCCTCACCATGAACCAGGTGACCTCCTCCCTGACCTGGAGACAGTCACCATCCCACTCCACACCCAATTTCCCCACTCTTCCCCATCAGCCTTGAATTAGGGACTGCCTCTTGCTATTAATCCACACAGCATTCCAAATGCTTGGAATTAAAAACACACACTATAGAAGCACCAGGGCCTGATCCCAAAGCCAAGCAAGATCAAGAATAAAGAGGAGCCAGAGGTTTCAGCAGACAACAACTGGTACTAGTCGGCCAACAGACCTGGGGTCACATTATCCATCATCTCTTAGGATGGCAACATCTGCCAGGAATTTGTGAAAATGTCTGCAGGTCCCCAAAGAATTTAAGCCTGAATTGATTAACTGCCTAAAAATTCATGCTACAAATTGACACACACGTTGTTCTCCTGTTTGAAATATTTTGGGCACCCAATTAAAGAGAAGAAACACTAACACACTTCCAAACAGCCACAGAAAAATGGAGAGGCAGTGACACAAACTTAAGAACAGGTGGAAAGCTCAGAAAACAGCACATTCGGGACTTGATGGTGAATATTAATTTAATAAACCACTTTGTTAATAGAATATTAAATTAAGAATTAGCAAGTCTCACAATTAGCCCTCCCAGTGAAGCAATGCTGTGCCCTGTCCCTGTGGGCTGCTCAGGGCCTGACACCAACTGTGTAAAAATAACTGAAATATGGAGTGACAGAGAAGTTGGGGCATATTGCATGGGAGAATGGCATTGCATACTCCATGTCTAGCTGTTTCCTTTTATTTCTTTATCAGAAATACATGATCAGCTGAATGGAACAGCATAAAGAAACACCTCGGAGCATCTCTGTCAAATCCCATTTCTCCTTTACCCTCAAGCACTGAATCTCATCTCAACACAGTCTGACCCTGTGAGATATTTGCAGAGCATCAGTCCCAGGGACAGCCAGCAATTGAGTTAATCATCACTGTCCTGCACTGGCTGGGGAAAGGGGCAGCTCAGAAGCTCCACTGCTGCTGGGAACAGCTTTATAGAGCATTCCTGCATCCTCTGCCTTGGAAAAGGGATGGCTGGGTGAGCCATCCCCCAAACTCTGCCTGCCACCCCAAGGCCTGGCCTCTCCTTCTCTCTGCTACACCTGGAGGGGTCTGTGAACCCCAAAATCTGCTGCAGGGCTTTGTCCTGCCCCTGGCTGGTGCCGCTCCACACCATCGCAGTCTCTGAATGCTGGTAGAGATCTGCTCTAAAACTAAAAAATAAACTCCTGGGCATTAACATGGCAGCAGAGAACCCCAAGACTTGGAGAAAACCCTTCTCACACCAACCACATAACGAAAAGCACAATCCAGAGGCGACTTTCCAAAGGAATCTGATGCCAGTACCCAGCGCCTCGACCGCTCCTCTGACTTTCGGAGGCACCGGGAAGAAAACAAACCTAAACAAAGCTGAGCTGAGAGAGAACCCAAAAAATAAATATGTATTTTATTAATTTTCCCTGCTCTATCTAGGTCTCCAAACTGCCATGTGCTCTGCTCAGTGCCAGCAACCAGAGCAGCTGTTTGATTTAACGTCAACTTTCTTGCTGCCTCCCGTGAGGGGCAGTCGTGGAAGAAAGAGAGAGGGGAAAAACGAGGAAGAAAGAGGGAAAGAGCTGAGTGTCAGATATCAACTGCTGCCACCAGAGAGCTCAAAAAATTTTAAAAAGATGTATTTCACTTTGTGGCTGATCACTCCTTATTAAGTCACAGCAAGACATTCTCTGACTGTTGCTTTGTGCACCAACACCTGGGCGCAGGGCTGGGACAGGGCTCCAGCCATGGATTTAATGGGATCTGGAATAAAAGGACAAGGGGTAAAGGTTTTAAACTAAAAGGGGGTGGAATCAGACTAGATATAAAGCAAAATTTTTTATGATGAGGGTGGTGAAAGCCTGGCCCAAATTGCCCAGAGGGGTGGTAGATGCCTCATCCCTGGAAAGACCCCCTGTCAAGTTCCCTGTGAAACGGGTAAATCCTGGCACAGGACAGACAGCCCTGGTTCTTTGCTGGGTAATTCAGGGCAGGAGGGGGCTCAGCTCTCCTCACCATCCCTGTGTTTTCTGGAGCTCCACGAGCAGTCATTATTGATGGCAGAGGCAGAAGACGCCTTCCCAGCGACTCGTCAAACCACGGGGGAAATTAAGACGGCTTCCCTTCCCCGAGATGAGTTATTGCCTCCGCAAACACAGCCAGATTTAAAGCAATTTCCTGTCAAGTATATTCATTGTGGCTGGAGGAATCCCTGAAATTTTCCTGGAGATGTGAAATCCTCCCCTCCCCTTCATCCCCTCACTCCAGTGAGATTTCAACAGAGCCCCAGGCACAGCCCATGGGCAGCTGTGGCCAAGCCAGGCTCTGCAGCACAGCCAGGGCCCACAGGGACATGGGACAGGGGTGGCTCATGACATGGAGAATGGGGGGATCCTTTTACTTGTGGCTGCTCATCTGCCCTACATTAATACACCATTTTTTCCTCTTTTCTTTCTGCCATTTCTCAGCACAGCCTTGGGTGAGTCGCTTAATCCACTCTGGAGCTCTTTGCCCAGCTATGGAGCACAAATGCTGCTCTCCACCCAGAGAGACCTGGAGGATCCAGTCTGGGATCTCCTCAGCCATCTCTGAAATCACAGAGAGCTGGAGACAGGTGAGGAAATGTATGGAAGTCCTCCATGGAGAGCTATATTTTCTTTCCAACACCAGCACCCTGCACCCACAGAGCCCTCGGATTATGGAATCACTGAGGCTGGAAAAGACCTCCAAGACCATTGAGTCCAACCTGTCCCCCAGCCCAGAGCATGGAGTGCCATGTCCAGTCACTGCTTCCAACACCTCCAGGGGTGATGACTACACCACCTCCCCGGGCACCCCCTTCCAAAGCTCAACAACCCTTTCCACGAAAAAACTCCTCCCAAGGCCCAAAACTCCTTCCGATGCCACCAGCAGCGTGGCTGCGCCAGCCTGGGGGGCTGTCCCCGACCTCACCTGCGCAGGAGCAGCTTGGGATGGTTCTTGTTTTCCAGGTTCTTCTCGATGAGGTCGGAGAGCAGCTGCTTCAGCACGTCCGTGGCGTACTCCAGCTTGCCCTGCAGCCCCGTCATGATGAGCGAGGCCACGTTGCCGCGGTCGCGCATGGAGAAGCTGCGCTGCAGCTCCAGCGTCCGGATGAAGGTCAGCAGGAAGACTTTGTTGTTGATCAGCTGAGCAAAGAGCTTCAAGGCCTTCTCCACGCTCTGCTGCCCGTTCCCTTGGACCTGCAGTGGAAGGAGAGCGTGTCCATCAGCGAGGGACGGGAGGACGAGGGGCTGGAGGGCAGCCCTGCATCACCCTGCCAGCACTCTAGGGGTAAACTATGAAACCAAAGAATGGCTTGGGTAGGGAGGGACCTTAAAGCCCATCTCATTTCAACCCCCTGCCATGGGCAGGAACACCTTCCGCCAGATCCAGTTGCTCCAAGCCCTGTCCAGCCTGGCCTTGAACACTTCCAGGGATGGGGAGTCAACAATCTCTCTGGGTAACCTCTTCCAGGGCCTCACCACCCTCACAGGGAACAGTTTCTTCCTAACATTTGATCTAAACCTGCTCTCTTTCAGTTTGAACACATTCACCCCTGTCATGTGACTCCAGTTCCTGATGCAGAGTCCACCTCCAGCTCCTTCAGATCCTGGAAGGTGCTGTGAGATCTCCTCACAACCTTCTCTTCTCCAGGCTGAGCAGCCCCAACACTCTCAGCCTGTCTCTGTAGGGCAGGTGTTCCAGTCCCCTTAAGCTTTATGACCTTCTCTGGACTTGCTCCAACAGTTCCATGTCCTCCTTATACTGGGGGCAACAGAACTGTACACAGTAATGTCTAACCCTGGGTGCACAAGCCAGCACCCCATCTTTCAGAGTCTGAGCATCCCTGAACGCGGTCCTTGGTCCATCCTGAGCAAACATCACCCTTCCTGTCCTCCCTCAGCACAGCTCCCCTCAATCCTTGCTCTGAGCTGCACTCTCTGCACGCCATAAAACTGCTGCTTTGGGGCTAACGGCCCTATAAATGACACACAGTTCTGCTTGTTCTGCACAAAAAGTGACACTCTTGTAAGTAAATTAAATACTAATTTAGGCTATTGCTTTATTATGGGACAAGTGTAAAAAATTAATTGAGGCTTTCAGCCAGTTGCGGATTCAAGTAATTCATTACAAGTGAAAATAATGAACTACACGAAGCAACTCTTTACCAAACATCTTGGAGACTTATGTATTGGTTTTACTAACGTTACATAATTAAGCAACTGTGTAATTGGCAACACATTTATCACTTCTGCAATTCTGTTTTTCACGAGTAAAACAAAAAGCATTCATATTTGTTTGCTAGAGCATCAGCTTAGTTGGCAATTCAAACAGCAAACAGAATGCACGGAGCTGGAAGACTCAGGGCACAGGAATGGGCTGGGAGAAGCTGGTTCTGTTTTATCAACACCACAGCAACTGCTCGGTGCTGGTGGCCCACTGGAATCTAAATGGAGGCATTAGGGCTGCCTGGAAAAGCAGTGCAGCCCCGTGGAGCAGGAGCAACCACGACTCCTTCCTCCTACATCCAACCCCTGGGCTGTGTGAAGGCAACAGGACTGCAGGATTTACTGGAGCAATCCCAGTCTCTGAGAGGCAGTGCTGAGCCTGGTACCTCTGGGTACCCCGTGGGGAGGATGGCAGTCCCATCCCATGGGAAGGATGGCAGCCCCTTCCTGAGTGGCAGCTGCTTCTTGAAGCACCATCACTTTTTGGGCCCTCTCCCAGGTGAGCAAGGCCCATCTGCGAGGTGACCTGATGGACCTTTGTACGTTCCCAGTTCTTCTGTACCCTCAGTGAAAATCTTTGATCTGTATTTACACATCCTGGTGGAAAAACCAGGGAGATGGAAGTGCTTGCTCAGAGGCCAGAATGCCTGGGCAGGGCATTCCGCTTGCCCTCCTGTGGACACGCCATGGAACAGCAGCAGGATGCTCCAGGCAGGAAGATCCAAGGATGCTCCAGGCACACAGCATTCCCCTGCGCCGCAAGGGGACTAAGGAGGACTTTAAAGCACACCCATAACTTTTCTGACATGCTTCACTGCTGGCCTAGAGCAATATAAAACCCCATAAAATAAAAATAAAGCAACACCACGGGGGAGAAACCAAAAGGAACCACAGGCAGCGTGGGATGAGATAAAACAGCAGCTCCTGAGCTAAAATGGACTCTGGGCTCACCCCACTGACCTCGGGGCCTCTAATAAGATTTGCTATGAAGGCATAAAGGTGCTTCAGGGTTTCCCACTGGCTTCTCTAAGGAGTCAGGGAAACTTGGAAGGGCTGGAGCTGTTACCTCCAGCTGTTTGTTACCTCCAGCTCCCGCAGGACAGGGTGGTCCTCGATGCCAGGGAAAAGGACTCTCATGGCATAAGTGCGATAGTCCAGGTAGGGGATCCCAGAGCGATCCAGGTCACTGGTCAACTCATTGATGTCCGTCTGCAGCTCTGCAAAAGCTGTTCAGGGAGAGGAGAACAGGACACAGAGAGGTGAACTCTGGGAGCTGAGGCTTACAGGGAGAAGGTTTTGGGGAGGGCTGGCTGCCTGCTCTCCCTGTGCTCCATAAATGGGTCAGCTCAGGAGCTGATTCAGAGGAGCCCTGGCCTCGTAGCTCAGGCAGACCCTCACTCTTGGAGGCTCTGTGTCAGCCTGAGAGCAGGAGAGTACACGCTGCACAGAGTAGATGCTGAGAACAAAGATGTTGCTTAATTTGTATGCGGTTCACACCTGTGTGCACACACCTAAAACACCCTGAAAGGCTGCAGAGAGAAATAAGGATCTATTTTCATAACTCAGTGCCTCCCATTCCTTTCTTCTTCTTCCCCTCCTCTATCAACAGTTGCCAAAATAATCAAATCTGATGCAGATCAAATCCAAGCTGCTGCAGGGGTCAGGAAGGAATTTATTCTTCCTCTCATAACATAATATCATGTGTTATACAGCTGTATGTGTCTCCTCGTGTTCCCTCTCCAAAGTGTGACATGCTGGCTCAGTGAAGCCTCTGTACCCCAGCTGGGCTGTGTCATGCCAAAGCTGGGTTTCCTCCTCAATATATCTCATTTTTTGCCCTGTGCTTTCAAGGCTATCCTTGAAATCAGCTGAACAAATCCAATGCAATATTCTCTACATACACTGTATGAAATTTGCAGCTTTCTATTTATTTTATTTTGATTCACTGAGCCCATTTCCAGGTGGAAGGGAACAACAGCAGCACCCCCCCAAAAAAACACCTTCACCTGGGCTTCACCACAGGGGAACCAGGCTCAGCTGCCTCCTTGCAAGGGACAAGACTTGTCCATGTGGAAACTTGCAATCAGCAGGTGTGACTGCTCCAAATGACACACAAAATCTCCCAGAAGCAAAAGCCTGAGGAGCTTTTCCTACCCCTCAGCCCTGTTACTGCTCTGGGCTTATATTTCTAGACTGGAGGAGGGACTGGACCAGCTTTTCAGCCCTCCTGCCTTGCTTTTGGGATACATGGTGTTACTTGGGGGTCTGAACCTCCTCTGCACCCTCTCTCTCTGTGCCTTTTTGAAAGCCTCTCACTAAAAAGCCATCAGACAAGAGGACATGCTGTGCTGGGCACCCCGGGGCTTGTGCCGTGCGATCCACGCGATCCAGGCGTGTCACTTAAGCAGGATCAAGCTCTAATCCTATTCTCTGCACATCAGGGAGCAGAGCTGTGTCTGCTGCTGACACACTTGTGGCTGCCCACCCTCCCAGGGCAGGGCAAACCCCGCGGGGGCACACCCACCCACCCCGCTCCTGGCTGCAAACTCCGGGGGACTGGGAAAACCGGGAACCCAAGCACAGAGCTGCAGCACCCAGAGAGCACCCAGTCCTGGGTAGTACCCACCCTCCTTGCACTCCAGGGCCACCCGGGACTCCAGGTTGTCCATCTGCATCTGCAGCCTCTTGAGGGTGAGGTCGTTCTCGCGGGACTTGCGCTTGTAGGCGATGAGGACGATGATGACGATGATGAGGAGCAGGCTGCCCCCGGCCGCGATGCTGACGATGGCCGGCAGGGTCAGGAGGCTGTCTGAGATGATGCTCACCGAGCCAGGGGAGAAGATGACTCCACCAACACGCACCTACGAGGCACAGCTCAGGTCACCAGCAGAGTCAGGGTGTCACCCGCCCCAAAGCTCCGTCCTTCCCAGCCCATGGGCTGTACAGATCCCTTGGGAAGCACTGAACCACCCCTGTTTAAGAATATAAAACTCCAATTGCCTTCAAACACAGAGGGTGCTGCTTATGTGAACACAGGGAGGCTTCAAGTGATGATAAATGTGCCAGCCCTTCACTATCTGGGCTTTGTTCTTATTATCTGATGACTCCATTTGACTTTCATTTTATAAGCTTTCAACTCCCTTTTGTAAACCATGGACATTAGCAACCTACTGATAATTTCACTGACAAGAAACCAGAGTGACTGGAAGGAGAGAGCAGAGAAGGGAAGAGAAAGCCCCACGTGAAAGCTGTGGAGCAAACAGGCTGGAGTTAATGCCAGGACAGGCTTTTCTTGGATGTGCCCCGGCCACAGATGCGAGCAGCTCTCAGCCAGGCTGTGCTTCTGGGAGTCACACTGTGATAATCTGAATATGTTTTGGATGCTGAACTTAAAGGGGAATAAATCACAATTACAATCTCATTTGGGCTCCACTCAAGCACTTCGGCAGCTGCGTGTTTGGTCTGTGAGAGGAGCACAGGAAGCAGCGATGCCCAAAACCAAAGCAGAGGAAGGCACCGACTGTTCCCCTGGATGAGGCTGTTGATCCAACCACTCCAGTGTTCAGATGTTCCTGGCTTCTGCTGCGGGAAAAGGCAAAACCTTTCCATCCACTTAGCAGATCAGGTCTGGCTACGTGGGCTGATGAGATCCCTACAGGAGGGAGAACACTGCGAATGGTCTCATCCTCATCCAGAGGAAGGATGGTACCCGGTGCCAAAGGCACTGCTGGAAAGATCTGTTCCTTCTAGAAGGCTCTGATAGCAGGGAGTGAGTCTCAGGGAAGGACAAAGTTTCTCTGTGCTAATCCACATCAATATTTTAAGCTTCCAATTAGACAGCCATGAAGATCTAAAATCCTCTCAGTCCTTGGACAAGGCATTGCATTCAGCATCCAAGTAAGTCAGGGAGCTGGAGGAGGAGCAGAAAGGGATGGAGGGAGGGAAAGGGATGCTGATGGAGAGTTTGGTCCCTCACCATGACTTTGTGCTGTCCAGTGAGGTTTGGGGGCTCACACAGCAGCTGGGTCTCGGAGACAGTGACAGCACAGGGGGTTTCCCCGATCAGCACGGTGTAGTTGAGCTTGGCTCCTCCCGGGGCAGGCGGGCACAGGTTTCTGCCCTAGGGACAAGCAGAGAGAACACTGACAAAGATACAGCCCATTCCTCCAGTTTCCATCTCATCCCCAGCTTGTGCAAACAACGGCACTCTGCCCGGTGTACCCCATTCTCCAGAGGAAGGATAAAATCCACTATCTGGGATATTTTTCTTCCCATGGCGTGGGCGGGTGGGGGGGTCTCCTTACCTTCAGGATGATGGGGGAGCCCGGCTTCTGCTCCAGCACCCCGGTGGGGCTCAGCATTTCAAACGTGGGGTTGGGGTAGTAGATGAACTTGGTGTCGTTGTAGACCAGCAGGGCCTGCACGTTGTTGAAGATGAACCCAAACTCGTCCGGCCGCTCCACGGCGTCCAGGCCGGGCCGGTACTCGGGGCTGAGGGGGGGAGCGAGGCACAGCAGCACCGTGGAGTTCACCACCTTGCACACCTGTGGGGAAGGGGCTGCTCTGAGAGACACAGCACAGGAAAAACCCGCCCTTGACCTGGACAGCGATGCTCTGACTCCCTAAATTCCCTCTGGAAAGTCGCGGGGATTCAGGTTGGGCTGGAAATGTTTAATCCGGGCTCGATCCTCGATGATCTCAGAGGTTTTTTTCACAACCTTAGTGGTTCTGTGATGTGTTATAACCATGGTTTGGGGTAAGTTGCTTCTCCTCCATCCAGCACGAGGGCACTGGTGCAGGGATGGAGAGTGAGCACAAAAAGAGTGGCTTGCGCAGCAGACCTTTCTCCTTTCTCTTTATTCTTTTTTTTTGCTTTTCTTTCCAGTTCCATCCTCTCTGGCAATGCTAGCTCATTTCCCTATGAAATTCCATAGGGAATATCTGCTCCCTGCTACAAATGGGTGGTTAGAGGCAACTCCCAAATGCCAGGGAGGGAAAGGAACGATCATCTGACACTCGTGGGCTGGAGGTAACGTGAAGGTCATCTCCTGCCAGGCTGAGGACACCCACGGCTCCTCCAGCCCTCAGAGCAGGGAGATGGCTGATTTATGGGACTCTTGCCTTGTAAAGCAGCAAGAGCCCAACCATTTGGCCTCCCTCCCTAAGTGGAAGATTTAATTTCACTTGATTTCGTGTCTTCAGAATTATTTTTGTAGCACTATAACTGCAAGTGCTAGCAACGAAATTAGATGTCTTTTTAAAAAGAGCTCAGATGAAAAAGGTCTAGAGGGGGAGAAAAGGAATGGGAAAAGACTGCTAAGTGATTTGCCCTTTCCAAGATAATACAGATTCAGTCACAAAGATCACTGCATAGAAACAATATATTTCAGTTTTACTTGATCAAAACAATTTCTGAGGTCCTGGAGGTACAATTCTTACTTGTAGCACACAAGAAGATCTCCTAGTTCCCATTCAGCTGGGGATTCATTCCAGTTTCTCACTCATGGACTGAAAAAATACAGATAGGGGAAGGAGGTGGCGTTCCAGATCAACCCCAAACTCTGCTACCAACTCCTTGCTGTGGGAACATCAGGGTGATAGGAGGCATAAAAGTAACACTCAGCTCACCAAAACACCCAGAGCCTCATGCCCAGGAAGGTTCCCCTCCCTCCTGCCCTCCCTGGGCTGGTACAGGCTCATCAGGCCCAGAGCTGAGGCAACAGGAGGTTTATTTATAGAAGGAGGCCAGGGATAGACTAAACTAAGCAGCCTCAGAGCTCTGGGAAGTCTCAGTGTCCAGCTCTGGGCTTTTCCAGAAAGCACAGGACTAAAATGGGGAGTGTGGAGCAGCTGGGAATGATGGGGACAGCTCCACTTGGACTTTCCATCAGAATGTGCCTGCAGAGCTGAGCTGAGTGCTGGGGAAAGGAGAGATCTCAGGGCTCAGGGGCTCTGACAAAAGGGGGATTTCAGGAGGGTAACAGGTTTATCTGCCCCAAGAGAGAATTTGAGGTGTTGGAGATGATCTAAAATGAAATCCTTCCTTTCTAGCTGTGAAAACTCCCTGGTTACTATGCTGCCAAGGAATTAATTTCCCATTTCTGTGTGTCCCCATATTTGGGTAAATTTGGGAAATACCCCCAGGGCAGCTTGTGCCATGGCAAGGCTGGCCCCACAGACAGCACTGGCACCAGTAACCACATGCCTGCAGCCAGGTGGGGGGATGCAGGGGGATGCCCTGTGCTGACAGCACCTACTTACATTGACAAACTCCTTCCCATTGTACTTGACGCGGATCCTCGGCTCCTGGATCACGTCCAGGTTGGAGCCAGTGACAGTCAGGGGCGTGTGCCCGCTGTGGAGAACAGGGAGACACCTGATTAATGGAGCTGGGGCTGTGCACAGAGCCTGGGCTTGACAGGGAGGATGCTTGTTGAGCTCAGAAAGATGTTTTCTGCAGCCACCTGAGGCACCAGCGGGGATTTATATCCACTCCTGAGTCACCAGGGAGGGGTGTCCCTGGATTTTCTGCTCTCAGCTGCCCCCTTTCCCACCTCAAACACTGCAAGGCAGCAGGATGAGGAACCAAGGAAATCAAGGGAGCTGAGACTAAACACGTAAGACAATAAATTAGTCGCAGTGTTTAATGATTTACACAGCACTGGTTTCCAGGCCCACGATAAATGGCTCGTGCAGTGAAGGAACTGACGTGCACTTGCCTCTGGACTGCAGACACAGCAAGTTGTCACACAGAGCAGGGGAGGGATGGAGAGCCATCAGGGCCACGAGAGATACAACCCCCAGGGCCAGAGTACCCCCTTTCTCCTACAGCCAGTGCCCTGAGCAAAGCCTTTCACTCTCCCTTCACGTGTTAACTGGAGCAGCACAGCCCAGATTCACCCACAGCTCCAGCACCTCCACAGCTGCTCCCTCAGACCCCCTCTGTCAGCAGCCCTGACCCATCCTCTAAAATCAGACACCATCCCAAATTTGGACTCAAGGCAGGCATCTCCAGAACCTCCTGCGAGACACTTACCTCTTTCAAGGGCAATTTAAAAAAAAATAATTGGAATTTGATATGAATAGCTGTGTTACAGCCCCTGTGAGCACAACCATTAAAGTAAAATCACAGGATGAGTGTGGCCCAGGGTTTTTAGCAGTGACAATGTCACGATGATGTGACAGCACCAGCCACCCCGTTCCCAGCAGTGAATCTGGGCTGACAGTACATTTTGATTAACATCAGCTTTTCCCTTTCTTTGTGGTTGCTGGTTTTGTTTTATTTCAGGACTACAAGAAGGAGCCTTTAATGAGCAATTGTGCCCTTCTGCAGCAGATGGGAGTGATCTTGGCTTTATTTGTGCTCCCAGAATCTGGGTGCAGACTGAGTGCTGGAACTGCCTTGGGAATCACAACTACTATGGGAACTGTGATTTTTGGTAAATGCAACCACCACAGATGCCCAGCCCTGACAAATCCAGGATGCTGGGTGGGATGAGAATTTCCAAACAGGCCCTGAGTGTGTGCTGAGAGAGAAGCCCCAGACAAGGAGAGCTGCTGAGGCCTCACTGTCAGATCCACGCATTACCTGGCGATGCTCCACTCGGGCTCGATGTGCTGCACCTTGGGATCATCAATGTACTCAAACTGCAAGGTCCTCTCCAGCTGAGCCCTGTCCACGCTGACAGAGACCTGAACAGCCCCCAGGCCGTGGGCTGATGGGGCTGACACACAGACTATCTCGCTCGTGGATCGCCTGTGCAAGGGGGAAACGGGGAAATGTTAATGGGTGGTCATGGTGTGGAGGCAGAAAACAGCCCTTTGTCCTGTCCTGGGGCAGCTCCTGAGCCATCAGTCAGCCCCACACTGACACCTGTGAGGGGGACAAGCTCCCGAGGTGGGCAGGAGGGTTTCAGTGGCACGGGAGGGAGGGAGTGGAGCTCTGCCCACTGCGAGAGCAGCGCAGCCTCCCTGAAATGGCTCTTTGTGCCAAACTGCAGCCTTCCCGCATCCCTCTGAACCCTCTGCCTTCTGCTGGGCGTGTGAAAACAGATGGCTGCTTTTTAAATGGCATGCATAAGCTCACTGAAAAGCCAAATTCTTCCCCCTCCCCACCCCGTCGCACACACGAGGCTCTTGTGAGCGGCATAATGGAGCCGCGCAGCCCCCGCCCGGGAAGGGCGATGCCACGGTCACCGCTGCCTTTGGCTTTGTCTCCCCGTCAGAGCAGGGTGACCTCGGCCTCGGTGCTGCCTGGCTGGACACAACAGACCATCTGCTGCCATCAGAGCCCTGGAGAAGGTCGAGGCAGCAGCGTGGCGAGGCGCTGTCAAAGCACAAAGGCTCCGGTGGGTGGATGGATGGAGAAGGGGAATGAGATCTGAGCATCCAGAACGGAGCTGTAAGGAACCACGTGGCTCCATGGTGAGCCTGGGCATTGATCCTACAAGAAGTGCTGCAGTGACACCCCTGGAAGTGCTCCTGCACAGCCACCCGTGGTTGTCCTTCCTGCCCAAACCTGCCCCTGGCTCACAGAGAAGATTGTGCTGTTCCTGTGGCTCATTTAGTTTTGGGTTCTCCCAGGGAAGAGGGCAGGCAGGTCTGCAGCACCAGCTGACAGCCTGGCACTTAAATAAAAAACTGCCACTCCTAAATGTCCAGTCTTCACCATCCTCACCCTCCCCAGGGGCTGTGCAGCTCACGCAGGTACCTGAATAGCTGAGTGTCCCTGTTCTGTTTGCAGCAAAGCTCTGGTGGCTGTGCCTGGCAGGGGGATGATGTGTCGTCCCATTTTAGAGCCTTTACACACTTCCTCCCCTCCCTGAGGAGTATGGACACATCACTCAGCACTGGGCATTTCAGGGGGCATGGAACAGTAGGTACCACAATGTTCCCAGCTCACACCTTGGCACTTCCACCCACCACAACCGAGGGAACAGAAACAACCTCCTAAAAACACCTTAAACAAATTGGACTCGACTGTTTCTGTTGATGCAATTACACATCTACCCCTTCCTGCCCTCCTCCTCCTCCCTCCCTCATGCTATTCTCACTCTCCACCTAGGATTAATTTAACCACAAAGGCATCCCTGTGTGAGGAGTGGGTTTCTCCACCTTCCTTGCTGAGTCTCGGAGTGTTTCTGTGGATGCCTGTGCAGCTGATAAGATGCCTGCTGCTGCCTGCACTGCTGCTGCCTGCTCTGCTGCCTGCTCTGCTGCCCACACCAGACCCCACCGTGCCTGCTTAGCTCTGGCATGAGATCCAGAGTGACGCATCACTGCTGGCAGAGCAGCTCCCAGCTCCCTGTGATCAGCTAATTAGCTTTCTGTGCTATTATTATGTCGTCATGGTGAATCTACCCACTCCTCCGATCAGAGAGGGGAGAATGGGGGAAGCTGTAATTAGAGGGAATCTCATTAGAAACTGCTTCATCTCATCAGGCTCCCCCACACCCTCGAGTACAATTGAAGTTCATTGCCTCAAAACAGCCCAAGCCAAACAAAGTGCACAGCACGACCCCACGTGAGGGCTGGGGCTGTTCACACACTGCTGCCTGCTTTGTTTAACTTTCTGCTTCCTGCTGTAATTTAGAACATACAGGGAATCCAAAACTCTTTTCCAGGTTTTGCAGGTCAGCATCTGCAGGTTGCCTGAATAAAATCTGATATTTAAGGGATGATATTCCAGGGCTGATTCTGTTCTTCTGTTGGGGGTAACACCATTCCCTGTGTGTGCATCCGAGGGAGCAAGCTGGCATCTTTGTTTGGGAGATGGGAAGAAATATTCATGGATTGGTTACATTGCTTAGCACTTGGAGATCTGATCCACACTGGAAGGTCTCAGCAAATCCAGACCTCTCCAAGCTCTGGGATGGATACAGCATAAGCACTAACAACCCAACACCAGATGCTCCCACATCTGAACGCCCACAGCTCCTGTTATCGAAGGACCTCTCAAATTCACTTCCAGGAGTCTTTGCTTTGCCAGAAACTCCCTCAGTTCCTCCTGGGAAGTCTGAATGAAGATCTGACAAAGAGAAGAATCCCTTGGGACACCAGGTTCCCACCCGGGCTGTGCCCACTGCCCACTGCTTTGGGTACCTCGTGGGTCCGGGCAGGGCTGTGTACGTGGGGCACACAGATGTAAACACAGATGTATCTTTTTCTAACTAAGCCCCAGGAAAACCCATTAAACCCTGCAAATGTCAACTCTGTGTTTACACTGCTGGGTAAAAAGCAAATTTGCCATTGAAATCCCACTGGAGACTGATGGCTGTGTGAATTCCCTGGCAGAAGGTGTGTGCAGACCCATGCCCTGCTCTACCCAGCACGACCCCAGCCCTCACTCAGACCATTTTTAGGAGGTCGAGGCACCTACAGCAGTGGCTGCAATAAAAGCAGTGCAAGGTGTTTATCTCTGAAAAGAGAAACCAGGTATTTCTTGTGTTACATTTTCTTCAGACTAACTGGGCTGGGAGCAGGTGTTGATGACCAGTATAAATATTTTACCACCACAGTGATATTTGTCTGAAATTTTTGGACTAATTAACACTGCAACAGCATTGAAACCGAACAGTGGGCAGCACTAACACCAATGAATCCCCCTAAGGCTCAGTCACAGTAAGACAAAAGATGGTTTCATGCAATAAAAGAGGGACTAGGAGCCTTCAGGGGTGGTTTTGCTGTGGCTGCATGTTCAGATACAGCAGATCCTGGTGGAGCAGGACCAGGAGGTGCAGGCAGGAGCCCACACTGGCTCAGCTCGTCCTCTTACCCGTAGAACTCGCAGGTCTGGTTTCCCAGGAGCACGGACACACGGCTGCCAGCTCCCAGGTGGTGCCCAGAGATGGTCACCATCGTCCCTCCCGACTCTGGCCCACGGCTGGGATTCAGGAAACTCACCACTGGAGTCTGGAGAAGGAAAGGACAAACTCAGCACTCCTGCCTGCAGTGAGGGAGCTGTTGTGAAGCACCATCCCTGAGCACCCTCATGCTTTTAACAAGGAAAAGCAAAATAGGGATGTGTCCTGGACATCTGACAAATGCCCTGTTATGTTTTCTAACCCAGCTCTGACAGAGAGATGTGCCCCAACAAAACAATTGCAAATTCAGCCTTGGCAAAGTTCTGAATTCACCTTTGACTTTGCTCCTAAGCAAAGGTAAGTTGATGGCACTGCAGTTTGAAGAACTAAATATATCCGAGCAAACTGCCACAATGGAAATTTGAACCCGAATATTTGGAGTCTGTCAGTGTGGGAAAGGATAAAAAAAAACCCCACTAGGGTCTGGCAATGGGAAATGCTGCCCAGCTACAACAAAAGGCAGCACGATCAGCTCCAGCTCCGTATGAACCACCAGGGATGGAATTGTGGGGGCAGAGCCTGTTTCCCACTGCTGATGGAAAGACATCCTTGGTGGGCAACCTTAGATCCCACTTGGCATTTTACTGGTGAAATTATCACAGCAATGCCACCTCTCACCCTGCCCTGCACCAGGGTGGCTGGTTATACCCTTAATAGAATTTGCAGAGAGCAGGTACCCTTTTATTTCTTTTCAATCAGTGGATATTACCAAATTGTTTTATTAATGCTTTCACATTACCCTCTTTACGACTCATCAGCAAAGCCTGGCAAGCTCCCAGCTCCAATCCCCTGGGATCACCTGCTTGGCAGCTCCACCAGTTGGTTCCTGTTTTCCCTACTGTTTTCCCACTGCAACACATGTTTTCTGGGTGTCACAGCATCTGCCAAAGCAGCTCAGACCAAAAGCTTGTTTGACCCTGACTCCTGAATAGACCAGGGAAAAATACACCATCCACCCTGTTGTGGATAATCAGGGAATAATGTTGCAGGAGAGAAAGATTCATCCTTTAACTGCTCCTGGTCAGCTCTTATCCTGCCTGGGGTCAGCTGTTGGAACTGATGATCCTCGTGGGGCCCTCCCAACTCAGGATATTCCATGATTTTCTCAGTTCATGGCAAAATCAGGCAATAGGAAATAGGAATGGCAATAGCAATGTTCAGGCAGGCTTGGGAGCATTTCACACAGCCCAGAGGACTGATTCCAAAATGCAAAAACCCTCCAAAGGATGCTCAGTGTCTGACTGCCCATCAAAATCCTCCTTCCAAATCAAGCCCAAACCCTGGGAACTGTTCCCAAGGTGATTTGGGAACAAGCTGCCATGCTGTGGACACTCCAGACTGTGAGACCCCACTACCAGACACCCTCCTCCTCCTCCAGCCCCATCCCTGGGGCCAGATGGCTCGTGGGAGCTCAGGGACAGAAAGGAGCAGTTATTTTACACATCCCTGAGGTCCAGCAGTCCCCTCCCCACACCAGCACAGAGTATCCTGGGCAGCACAGCCCTTCTCTGCACTCAAAAATCAATGATAAACACTCCTTGCCTACAAGCATCTCACGTTTCTGGTGTGAGCCTCACCTTGTCTGAGCACTGCAATCCTTGGAAATTCAAAGCATTGCTAAAAATAGAAACTCAGGCTGTAGCTCTGAGTGGTCACTCTTGTAAACAAGGAAAAAAAAAAGAAAACAGGAGAGCTGAGAGCCCATCCTAGAGACCTAAAAAGTCCCAAGGGTGGGATGCAGCCGGCATGGGAGGAGGGTCTGAAAGCTGAGTGAGAACTTTCCACCTTCAGCTCATGATTTGGTGATAATTATGCCAGATTTACAGCTCCAAGGTTCCTCCTCCCCAGATCAAAGAGGTGTCATTAAGGTGACAGCGTGGCTCCTGCACCATAGCAGGCACCAGATGAGCTCAGGAAGGCAACAAACCCTCTCAGGGTCAGCCCAGAGCTCTGCTCTGAGGTACCAATCAATTTTACTGCCGACTTTAACGGCATAAACCAGCTGTAATGGAAGCTGTGGCGGTGCTAAAGAGAAAAATAGAGGCCAGCTAACAAAAGGAAATGATGTGCTGGAAGTTTTAGATGCCTGAGAAAAAAAGGAGCGATATAAAAATCAGCGTGTGAGTGCTGGAAATCAGGAGTAACAATGCAAAGGGATAATGCTCAGCACGTGCACCAGGTTGCTGCAAAATACTACTCCAAGATTCATCTCTGCAATTCCCTTCCACTGGTTCCTGGTTGTTATTTAGCACAGAGCTGGTGTCGCATGGGAACGTGCCTTTGGAGAGTGGCAAAGCTGGGACTACACTGGCACTGCCCTGCCATGACCAGGGGGATTTCTGGAATATTCCAGCAAAATGGGGTGATATTTTGCACCCCTGCTGTTGCTGATTAAATGAAATGCCAGGGGAGGGTGTTTGCTATAACGCTGAGAGGGTGGCAGGGCCTGGCCTGATTTATCTCTTAATTAGTTTACAAATTGTGGACAACTGGTAAGTGCTGGCATCTCCCTGCATACAGATTCCACTGAGCACAAAATCAATGGGGCTGGATGAAATGCCCTTTTTAGGCAAAACTGGAGATATGGGAAACTCCAGCTGTGGCTTTTCAGTTTCTGATTTGAAAAGCTGCTAATAAAACAACAGAAAGACCCATGCCATCAGTGGAAGTCCACCAACCCAAAGAGCAGCTCTCCACTGAGCAGACGGAGAAATCCTGCACTAAACCAGCATCCTGGGAGTGTTGGGGGGAAATCCCTGAGTATTTGAATGCAGAATATGAATAATATATAATGCAGAATATATAATACAATGTCCCTTCCATTCCATGGGGAAAAATTAAATCTCTGGACACGGAAAATCAGACATGTTTAGGTGTCGGTTGATTCAGTTTTGAGCAGAAGTTCAGGCCCTGAGCTGCAGAGGGACAGGCTCTGGTGCTCCTCTCCTGCTGTTGTGTTTCTGTGTTTGTTCAAAAAGGTCTATTGGTGCCTGTACATATGCACACATATGTATAAAAAATCTCCAAACCAGCAAGAAGCAGCCCCAGATTCACTCCCATTGACTAAGCACCAACTAGAGCAGTTATCACAAGCTTTGAGGCCCTGGCACAGGTTGCCCAGAGAAGCTGTGGCTGCCCATCCCTGGAAGTGTCCAAGGCCAGGTTAGATCAAAGGAGCAACCTGGGCTAGTGGAAGGTGTCCCTGCCCATGGCAGGGGTGGGACTGCATCATCTTTGAGGTCCTTTCCAACTCCAACCATTCTGTGAGTCTAAAATCACTATTCTGAGGCGCAAACCCAAATGCTGTCGGAACCCCAAGCTGAGGTTCATTCTCAGGCCTGTGCCAGCTCTAGATCCTGAAAACCAGGCTTGTTGACTGAGCTACCAAAAACTGTGCAACACCAGCATCAGAAACAGATGGCAATTTTGGGATGGTCTTTTGGAGTCCAGCCCCATCCATCCAACACTGTCAGGGCAGGGCTGTTCCCGTGGGACCCCCGTGCTGGGCCCCCCTGGCCAGGACTCACCACAAACACGTACTGCTGCGCCGACTTGGCCGTGAACTCCGGCTTGCACTCTCCGATGCACAGGAGCACTGGGCCGGAGCTGATCCCTGGAAGCGCCTGCCCCATTTCACAGACGATCCTGGAAGTAGAAATGCCGCAGGGAAGCTTTGGCAGGAGGTGCCAGCAGTGCCCCTGCACAGCTCCAAGCAGGGCTGGCTTCCTCTGGTTCTTCTTCCTTTCCCCTCCAAGCCCCCCCACCCCTCCTCTTTAACTTTGATATCTGCCTCTTTGGAAGAAGTTAATTACTGAGTCTATTTTTACCCCACGTAGTAATTTAAAGGGAAAAAAATCAAAATTAGACATAATTATTACAAGCTGTAAACTCCAGAGCAAAGCAGAGCACTAATGGCAATATATTAGCCAGTAGCAAAGTGAGTGCGAAGTCCTTAGAGTAACAGATGAGTTCATTAAGGGAACAGCTCACACTGCAGTCTCCCAGTTAATCAAAACTGGAGAAGCCTGCTCGGGAATGATAGAGACAGCCATGAAGAGCAGCTTTTGCAGGGACACAGGACTGGCTACCACTGATGCTGGGCACAGGAGGCAGTGGCATCAAAGGACACGGTCCTTGTGCTCCAGCTCAGCCCCGTGGGCACATCCTGAGGCTGGGAAAGCTGGAAGGGCAGGGAGAGCTTCTGGGGTTAAACACATAACTCAAAAATCCCAGGGCAGCAGGGATGTGTAACAGCAGCTGGGGTTGGGATCAAGAGGATGCCAGTCATGCCAGCAGGTTTGAGGGAGGTTTACAAAGGGGCATCAGCTGGCAGGGCTCTCCAGCTGGACATAAAGGGGATGGATGCTGCTTGCTCCCGTGGAAATGCTGGAAAGATAAATTCAAGAGCACCCCTCCAGGCACTGGAAAGCTGGGGGTGGGAGTAACCTGCCTTGAGGATGAAAACCTGGGGGTAGGAGGAATAACCTGCCTCAAGGAAGGAGACATGAGGGAGGGAGTAACCTGCTTCAGGGTGGAAATCTGAGGGTAGGAATGATCTGCCTCAGGGATGGAAATCTGAGGGTGGGAGTAACCTGATTTGGGGATGAAAACCTGGGGGTAGGAGGAGTAACCTGCCTCAAGGGTGGAAACATGAGGGTGAGAATAATCTGCTTCAGGGGTGGAAATCTGAGGGTAAGAATGATCTGCCTCAGGGATGGAAACTTGGGGGTAGGAGTAGTACCTGCCTCAGGGATGGTAATCTGAGGGTAGGAGCAACCTGCCTTGAGGATGGAAACCTGGGGGTAGGAGTAGTAACCTCCCTCAAGGATGGAAACATAAGGGGAGGAATAACCTGCTTCGGGGATGGAAATCTCAGGGTAGAAATAATCTACCTCAAGGATGGAAACCTGAGGGTGGGAGTAACTTGTCTTGGGCAGGGGGTGCAGTAACCTCCCTGATGAGACACTTGTGAGTGTCTGACCCTGAGAGTGAGACCAGAGGAAGAGCCAGAGCATCTCCTGCCCACTGAGGCTGAAGGAGCAGGAGGAAGCTTTCACTCTTCTGCCGTTCACACACAAAAGCATAAAAGGCTCCAATTTGGGAAGGCAGCGTTCCAGCCGCCTTCAGCAGCATTAAATTCACTACAAATAAAATAAAGAGACTAAAGGAAGAAAAGAACCTTGCAGATCGCCTGCACAGGTGATGCCAGGAGGCCTGATGAAATACATACATGCTGGTAAAGAGCTGGAACGTGCACGTCCTCGTTGCTGCACATCAAAAGGGGTTGCCTAGAGAGACGCTGCCTTTGGAGAGCAGGAATTGAAGCATCTCAGCTGTGTGCCTTAATCTGCCACGTGCTCCTCGCTCTGCCTTGAAACCAGACGGTGCCCGTGCACCTCTCTCTGCCTGTTATTTGATCCCTTCTCCTCCTGCAGACCAGCAGCAGGGCCAGGAGGCAGCTGTGCTCTGATTTTGGGTGCAGGGCTGGCACCTGGGAGCAGCTAAAGCCGGGGGAAGCGATTCCTGACACCCCACGGGCAGCAAAGGAGAGGGGAGGTTTTCCCTCCCACAAGAAATGAGGAAACACCAAACACTCAACAATTTGCCAGTAAAGCAGCAGCTGCCATGCAGATCGGGCAGGACTGGGTGCAGGACAGGGCACAAGCGACCTGGAACACCTGATCCTGATTCCTGCTAAAAGCCAAATTCCCAGCAGGTACCTTGTTACAAAGTGATGCATTCGGCAGAGCTGTAGGGTGCTGATTGCTGGGCTAAGTGGCCCTTTCACCAACATTACCCTAATTGCTGGCTGATAGATTGCGTGGCTGGAGCATATGGCGAGTCATTACAGTCTTGGAATTCAGTCTGCCCACAGAACCCTTAAGAGGGTCCTTTTATCTGCATTCATCTTTAAAAGGCAGCTCTCATGCTAACGCTTGCTGTTATCTGCCCAGGGTAAATGTTTTAATGATGTTAACAAACTTTGAAAGCTCGAGAGCCGTAATTAGAGTCATGATTATAAAATCAGGGTTTCATACCATCAAAGGAGGATAATTTCATAATCTTCCATCCTTTATTTGAAAAATAAAATAAAACAAAGTACTGCTCAGCAGAACAGCCCAAACTGCTTGTAGTGACAGGACTATTGGTGCAGTGGTTGGAGCCATTCCTGCAGTAACACCAAGACACCCTTCAGCCAGTGATCCCATGACACCCTGACACATCCTCGCAGCTCAGAAGGGGTTATTAATGTCATTTCTGTCTTACAGATGGGGAAAAGAAGATGAGGAGTGAGCAAAAGCCAAACCAACACCAACGTGTGCTGGTGACAGGTCCTTGCACTGCTCTGGGGATCTGACTGGGGCACTGCACCACCAGAGGACAACTGCTCTGAGCTGCTCCTGAAGCTGGGGCAGATCCTTGCTGCTGGGACCACTCATGGGCTCTTGGCCTTCCCCACACCACACAGGACACCATCCTGATCGCCATGAGGAGATTAGACAACCCAAGGGGACACATCACCTCTTGCTCCTCTCCCGCCCTGCCCAAATGACCCCCGACACACCCAAAACAACCCCTCCCCAAAGCGGCAGGAGGAGAGCGTGTCACTTCGGGAGGTTTATCCTCTGTTTATCCTCTGTTACATGCCTGTTTTCTAATTTTTGGTTGACATTTCGCTGGGTGAAACAAATGAATTGACTCCAGTGGAGGCCCACTCGGAATTAAGCGGCTGTCACCGCCTCGCCCGCCTAACAAATGGCTGCGCGCAGCCGGCAGCGCCGCCGGAATTTCAAGTGCCACGGGGAACAGGGAGGCTCGGCATCAACAGCAAGGTGCTCATCAGCAAAGTTGCTTAGCAAAGCAGGAACAGCAGGGTGGAAGGAAACACAGCACTTAATGAAAGCTTAAAGTGCTGCTTAACCCCCGAGGAGAGCACCCGAGCGCCTCGTCCCTTCCCGCGCCCGGGCGCCGTCCAACTCCAGACCCCTTCCTGGAGGGGCTGGGAGGGTGGAGAGGTGGTGCCTGGGGTTGGGATGGGTTCAGGGATGAGGCTCTGTGTCTGTGGGGAGCCGTGGTGGGGCTGGGTGGGGTCGGTGAGGTCACTCACTGCTCTGCCACGATGTAGTGCTCAGGCAGGGGCGTGCAGGGCACCCCGGCCACCTGCACCCCGTGCGCGATCTCCGAGAAGTCCAGGCCCAGGTTCACTCCACGGATGGTCACCCTCGTCCCTCCTTCTGGTGGGCCCGACACCGTGAGGATCTAGAGGGAAACAAAACACAGCAAAGTTGAGCTGGTGAGCCCCAAACCCCATCCTTCAACCCCTCGCCTGGCTCAGAAACACTGCGGGCTGCTCAGGGAGGCTGAGTGCTGCAACCTCCTCCTGCTCCTGCTGCCAAACCCACGCCAGTGCCAGCTCCCCATGACTCCTCTGGGTGTCCTGGAGAAGCCCAAGGCTGCTGAAACCCCTCTGTGCTGTGCTCCAAGAGAGGACACCAAGATCCCTGGGCTGGCCAAGAGCTGTAGGCAATGCCATTCCCCAGAAAGCCCTGACTCCTTTTTAATAAATCCAGAAGATGATAAGTCACCTTCCAGAAGTAGCCTGCTTCTTGGGAGAACTTTAACTTCTGCCTTGGCTGTTACCTGAATGTTAATGTCACATTTTATTAGTAAGTTGGCACCTCAAACGACTTAAAAATGTTAAAGGGTGAGATGTGTGCTTTCAAGCTGCCTGTTTATAGCCTGCCTCAGCCATAATCATCTCTGCTTCTATGGACTTTCATTAAGGACAATATCCTCTTCAATTAGGAATATAAATTTCAATAATGCAGAGTCACAAAATTTGGACCCAAGACTCTCAAACAGTTATCCTGAATCTGCCACCGGTCTGTCGTTGCTCTTGGGTGAGTTACTAATCTTCCCCATACTACAGTTGTTGTTAATAAATAAACACAATCCATAATAATGCAATTTAATTAATTTAATGGATAAATCCTGTTTACGCTTGTTTGTTCCACCCTTGTCTTTGGCAAAAGACTTGAGCTCTTAAAAACCTTTTCCTCACTGTTTCCAGATGGATGTTTGCTTTCTTCCACCTTCCTAAGAGGCAGTTTGGAAGGTGGCCAAACACCAGCAACCTGCCCCAAAGCAGCCTTTGTGGGACCCCCTGCACTGTCCAGTGCCACAGGGCATGCCTCCTCCTTCCCATGCCATCAGGATATCCCTGTGCCCCATCACTTCTGGGGTTCCAAGTTCCCCAAAGCCTCTCCCTGCATTTCAGATCCCAGCTGAAGCCATTTTCCTTCTCCATTGCTTACACATTGTCATTTCATACAACCATGGAATGGTTTGGGTTGAAAAGGACCTTAAAAAGCATCTTGTTCCAACCTCCCTGCCACAGGCAGGGACACCTTCCACTATCCCAGGGTGCTCCAAGCCCCGTCCAACCTGGCCTTGGACACTTCCAGGGATGGAGCAGCCACAGCTTCTCTGGGCAACCTGTGCCAGGGCCTCCTCACCCTCACAGGGAAGAATTTTTTCCTAATATCCAATAAAACCTACTGTCTGGCAGTTTGAGGCCATTCCCCCTTGTCCTATCACTACATGCTCTTGTAAACAGTCTCTCTGCATCTTTCTTTTAGGCTCCCTTCAGGTAGTGGAAGGCCACAATTAGGTCACCCAGAAGCCTTTTCCACCTCTGCTCCTGTTTAAGGTGCTCCTGTAGAAATTCACAGTCACAGAATCATCAAGGTTGCAAAAGACCTCCCGGAACCAGTCCAACCTTTACCAAATCCCACCAAAACGTATCATCAGGTGCCAGGTCTGCTCGTTTTTTGAACACTTCCAGGGCTGGTGACCCCACCACTTCCCCGGGTGGAGCCTGTTCCAACCCCATGACTTCCCTGGGCAGCCTGTTCCACCTCTGGCCACACGTGCTGAGGTTCAGGCAGCTCCACACGCCCAGCAGAGCCACCCCATGCACCAAACCACCCCCTCCTTCCTCTGCTTGAATTCCCACCTCCCTCTCCGACCGAGGTTTTTAATTTATTCACCAGGCACTGCCTGTTGTGCTGCTGTTCCCTGTAACTCACACTGCCTGGCACGTCTTGTATCATTTAGCTCTGCGGGAAGCACTACGTGCCCACAAAGCCACCACCAAATCAAGCTGGATTGCATTACACCAAGTCCTGAAGGCCTGGGAGTGTTTACATTGCTAGCTGGGAATCACCTGAACTTGGCACTTCACCTACTTGACAGTTACAACTGTCCTTTGCAGCTCTAGATTATGTTAAAATGCATTTACTGGAGCGCTTACACCGCCGGGCTCGTCGGCTCATCACTGCTCGAGAAAAAGAAGTCACTGTTTGCCATTTGCTGACCTGACCACAACCAGAGGAGCCAATTGGCCTCGCCCAACACAAAGCTGAGCTGATGCTGTATTTTAAAAATGTCCTGACCTGGAAAATCCCCAATATGGAGCTCCACTCGACCTAGATTTTAGTGGCCACTAATTGAACAGTTTTGAAGTAACTGTGCCATAAAGCAGCCCCAGGGTTAGAACAGATGCATTCAATTAATTACAGCTGGAGAGATTCAGTCAAAATCGCAGAAAGAAGATAAGTCTTAAAGGTCCCGTTGCACCGAGAGCTGGGGACCCCTCCAAGCAGCATCCCTGGGTCCTACATTGGGGTGAGGATTCGTGGATGAGGCACCTCCAGCAAAGCCAGCCTGTGGTCTGCCTTAATCCTGGCTTGGCTCTGCTGGATGCTGCTCAGGCTGCAGGGCTGGCTGGTGACACTCCAGATTTCTGATCCGAGACAGACAGGATTAGGAAGAAATATTCCCCAATTTCAAGAAAATCACTTTACTAGACTGGCTTTTCACTCAGAGGTCTGTGGAGGATGAAAAGAACCTGCAAAGGGCAGCCGAAGAAAACCAAGGCCATTACCAGCCAGGAATTGTACATTTGCTGTTAAGGAATTTGAACCTCTGCTGGAAGTTTTTTAGGTTGTTTGTTGAACTGAAGCAGTTTATAAGTCACTGAGATCTGAGACGGGTGTGGGAGGCAAAATTATTCTGAGCAGGTCACCTCTCCCCTTGGCATCAGCCTCACCTCTCACAGAACAAATCTGCAATCCACCACCTCTAATAATGCCTGTTCCTGCTGCCCAGGGAAAGGGTTTATGCAGGTGTGCAGCTCTGTATTATTCATAAAAAGGTTTCAAGTACAGAGATGAAGTGAGTGATGGCAGGAGCTCGGTCACCCCCACACCCTGCCCTTGCATCACAGAAGGGTTGCAGATGCTCCAGGGCATTTTCTCTTGCTGCTGCTTACTTGTAACCAAGGTAGGGATCATCAAGGTCAGAATCCAAGGGATCCCAGGGATCCCCAAGGTTGGAATCCAAGGGATCCCAGGGGTTCAGGAGCCCCAGCACAGTTGTAGCACCCTTCCAACCTGCAGAAGACACTGCTATAACAGCGCGGGATAAACATTCTCAGCCTCCCGAGTCTGGCCCGTTGCATCACTCAGCATTTCTGACATCAAGCAATATTTAGCCTCCAGAAGAAGTCTGTGATGAGAGGGGGAGACCTGGAGACAGGGAGACCTGGAGGCAGGGCTGGCTGTGAGTTGGACAGGGCTTTCCTCCCAGAGCTGCACAGAAGCCACGAGCCCGGCGACCGCTCTGCACAGCAACCACTTGGCATCTGTCAGGGTGCAGAGAGAGCACCCGGCTGCTGAATCAATGGCATAACTCCTGCCTCCCCTCCCCAGACCTCATCCACCTTCATCCTCTTTGTCTTTTTTCATCCTGCTCTGAGCTCTCTGGATCCCAGCTGATGAGCCCAGCGGGGACCCGGCACACAAGCATTGTCATCCCTGCATGATCCCTCCTTGTCTCTGCCTCGGCTGATAGCACATTCAGAACCTAATTGTTATCTCAGCAGAGCAACTCCATTATTCAGCCTGACACTGCCCCCCCCCTTCAGCTGTTTGTTGCACTGATGTTATATTAATGAGGCCTGCAAATAAATGAATAGGAGATCAGAGTGCCGCTTGTTCGCCACAAAACTGATTTTTATTTATTTATTGCTAGGACCACAGACCGTGTGGAAGTTTTAAGATGCTGAAGGGACACTGTTGGTGACGGCAGAGCCTCTCACTTAGTAAAAGAACTGCAAATATCCCGCTGCTCATTTACTTTTATAACTATTAAAACACAATCTCTTCTTACTTATGCACCCCCCAAAGGCACTGGTGCCTGGGAGCCAGGCCCTTGACCTCAGGCTTGTCAGAAAGAGTGAACCTGGCCAGATGAAGCAAAAAGGAGTGGAAACCAGCCTATATTAAAGGCTCTTTTAGGCTGAGTCTGATGCAAACCCCAGTATGAGACCTAACACCGTTCCCCAGTCAAGCCTGTCAATGCTGGTGCCTGCAGGATGGAGGACGTGCCACCAGTGCCAGCTCTGAGCCTGCCAGCTTGGTCCCAGCAGGGCAGGGTGTTCCCCTCCCAGCATTCCAGCTCTACAGCACTGGGCAGTGCAAAATGGTGCCCAAAATCCCCCAAAAAACTCAGGTGGCAGAAAAGGACCCAACAGCAACAAAGGCTGTAAAGGTCTCAACCTTTACCTCCTACACAATCTCACACACTTTACTGAAGGGGAAAGGGGATGAGAGAAGTTAAACCAGGCTGTTGAAAAGGTTGGATTTCAGAATATCGACCCTGTGGGGTTTCTGCTGGGGTTTTGGCATTTTCTAGACCTGAATGCTCAGTGCAAGATTCTGCCTGAGTGTTCAGCCCTGTCAGTGCCCTTCCCACCAGTGGATCTCAAAGCACACAGAAGAGGTCACTAGTTCCCCTCTGCTTTCCCCTTTCTTTTCTACAACTGCAAAGTTGACTTTCATTTAGAAAAAAAAAAAAAAAAGCAAGCTGTGAATTCCTAAGGAGAAAGGTGGAGTCCAAGGGAAAACACCAAACACCACAAGACCCGTGATAAAATCACAGCAGCTCACGGCTCTGCCAGGGTCAGCAGAGCCATGGGACAACACAACCCCCTGAAACCTGGGTTTCTCATTGCTGATCTCACAGTGGAATAAGCCAACAAAAGCACAGAGATTCCCTACTCCACTCTCTCATCTACAAATCCACTCGGGGCAGTCTCCTGAGACTCCAAACCTCCCTCAGCGAGGCACCCCACGCTTCCCGCTTGGAAGGCTGAGACCCAGACCTGGTCGTGGAGACAAGAAACGTGCAACAGCAGCAAAGCTCTGCTCTTTTCTCCTTGGACAGAGCCCAAAAGTATTGCTTTCAAGTTGGACAGTGATAAAACACTTGGTGGCAGTGCCATGCCTGCAGCCAGCTGCCAGAGCCAGCCTGGCACCGCTGAGATGCAAGTCACTCCGTGGCTGGAGCTGAGTGTTTTTCCCCTTCTCTGCTTAGCTCAAGGAGGGGGAAAGAAATAATTCCAAGATTTCTTCAATGTTACAACTGTTCTGGATGGTTTATGGTGAAGAAAATCTCAAGCAGAGGCTGTTTTGCTTCGTGCATCTTGTAGCACAACCTCGTGCAGCAGAAGGCACTTGGATAAATAAAGTTTGGGTTCTGCCCACTGGCAGGACAAGGTGAATATCCAGGCAAGCTTTAAGGCTCATTTTATCTCTTAGTAAGACACCTATGGCTTGGAAAACAACAAATCAACCAAACAGGGAAAGGATTCTCAACATTTCTTAATGCTTTCCCATCTCTGCACAACCAGCCCCAACACCTTGTCTGCTCCTCCACAGGCTTGTCACCTCAGCAGCTCCTCACCAGCTCCACTCTGCAGCATGAAAAACACCACACAAGAGAAATCCCTGCCCAGCAAAGGTATAACATGGCTGGGCAGAAGGTCTAGGAAAGAAATAACAAAAGCCTGGTAACATCCCTGCAGGATGGATGAACCCCCCTCAGCATCATCCTCCTCCAGTCAGCCCCACCCAGCCCTGACACAGCAGCCTCTGTGCTTCCTCCCCTCCATAAAAGGAGATTGATGCCTCCCTCCCTCCCAGGGGGGTTGAGCCAGTTTAGCTAAACTGGTGTAAAAACTAATTGAAGAGGAACTTTCCACATGCCCTTGGGTCCTTATTCAGCTGGCAGAAGTTTGGGTGCTGAGCAGCCCTGCTCCCGCCCTGCCATGAGGAAGAAGCCCCTTCAATCCAGCACTATTACATCCTTCTGCAGCATTGACACATGCTCAGGGTGAGGGAGGCTTTTTTCAGGATTTAATTAACTGAGAACCCAAAATCTTCCTTCATTCCCACCTGATAAGAGTGTCACTCCTAATAGCGACGTTAACAGACCGAGCACACTTTTACTGGTGAAAAAACGCTCCTGGGAGACATTCTGCATCCCTCAGTGGCCTGAACAGAAATATCAGAAGCATCAACTACGGACTAATTAGCTCCCTGGTTTAATTAGCATTCTTGCAGCGGTCCGTGGCGGTCACCCCGGCGCTGGTGGCACCGGCGGCGAGTGCCAGCTGCCCGGGGCAGGGGCAAGGCTGCACCCCTGGCCACGTGCCATGAACAGCACTGAAAAAGTACTGGAGCCTTTTCTTTCCCTTTCTACAGCGCCAGGAGGGCAATGGAAGGTTTTTGGACAAGACAAGGACAGCCCAAAATCCACCCTGGGAGGAGTAAAGGAGGAGGGGGAAACCGCCAACCGCGAGGGGTTCGATGAGGGGAAGTGCCGGGTTCTGTACCTGGGATGGGGCAGCTCTGGATGTATGGACAGGATGGGGGGTGAGAGGCTGGAAAGCAGGACCAGAAAGGGCCCTGGGGGTCCTGGTTGATGGGAAGTTGGCCATGAGTCAGCAGTGCCCTGGCAGCCAGGAGGGCCAATCCTGTCCTGGGGGCATCAGGCCCAGCATCGCTGGCTGGGCCAGGGAGGGGATTGTCCCGCTCTGCTCTGAGCTGGGGTGGCCTCACCTGCAACATTGGGGCAGTTTTGTGCAATATAAGAAGGATATTAAGTCATTAGAGAGTGTCCAAAGGAGGGCAACAAAGATGGGGAAGGGCCTTGAGGGGAAGCTGTGTGAGGACACTGAGGGCATTTGGTGTGTTCAGCTGGAGGAGACTGAGGGGAGACCTCACTGCAGTCACAACTTCCTCATGAGGGGCAGAGGAGAGGCAGGCACCGAGCTCTGCCATGGGGGACCAGTGGTAGGACCTGAGGGAACGGCCTGAAGTTGTGTCAGGGCAGGGTCAGGTTGGATCTCAGGAAAAGGTTCTTCCCCCAGAGGATGGTTGGGCACTGACCAGGGCAGTGGTCACAGCACTGAGGCTGCCAGAGCTCAAGGAGCATTTGAATGACACTCTCAGGCACATGAGATGGTCCCATGCAGGGCTAAGGGTTGGACTCGATGATCCTCGTGGGTCCCTCCCCACTCAGCACATCCTGTGGGATCAGTGGGTTCTTACCTCGGTGATCCGGGGGTTGGAGCACTTGACGTTGCGGCTGGACCAGTCGAGCCAGGGCTGGGCCGAGGGGGAGCTGCAGTGGGGCCTCAGGGTGCACTTGCCCTCCCCACTGCACCAGCCACACTCGAATTTGGGGTCGGCCTTGAGGCAGAGCCCGCAGCTCTCGCGCTGGGCCGCGCACTTGTACAGGTGCACTGCGGAGAGAGGGGAGGGACACGCGGGGCAGGGTCAGGAACTGAGACCTGGAATTCACCTGGGCTGCAGCCGCTCTCGGACTTACAACCCACAGCACGTGCTGAGCTCTGGCTTAACGAGCTGCAGAGTGGCTTCCAAAAGGTGGTTTCCAAAGCCACGGTGGGATCAGCGGGGCTCAGTGAGCAGCACGAGCAGTGGAGCTGTGGAGCTGCTCCCATCCACAGGATGATCCACAAGGATCACAACATCTCTGCCTGCAGCCACAGACACCGCTCTGCCCCAACAGCCCCTCTCCAGTCCCCACCTTCACCCTCCTCCCCGTGGCTCGAAGCCAATTCGAGCCGACTTTACCTTTCAGATCCTCCGGGTTGTCAATAACAAAGTTCCCATTCCAAACCACGGCAAAGTCCACGGCTAAGTTGCTGATGTCCATCCCATCATAGAGGTACTGCAGGAGAAGATGGAGAATGACACGTTTGGGAGAATGACTCTAACAGAAAAAGAAGGCTTTTTGAAAGAAACCATAATTATTCTCTGCTTAAAAGCATGTGCTGGTGCCTGAGACACCACATTTCTACACTTCAACTCCAGGGTTCTGCTTTGACTTCCTTGTCCTCACCGGGAAGAGATAATTAAATCAGATCTAGTCCTTGTGAGAGGTAATAGATTAATTATTCCACTCACAGTGGTTGCTCTTGTCACTCAGTCTCTAGCTTATCAATACAGCCCCTCCAGTTAGTCAGACTGGGACTGCTGCCTTCAGGCTGTCTTCTTCCACAGTCACTGTGCACCCCAGTGTGAGTGGGAGCTTAAAAATCCTACTGCAGAGCTTTGGCTGATGGAACAGGCACCATCTGAGCAAAAATAGATGCTGCAGGGAGGTCCTTTCCCAGCCACTGCTTCGGCCCAGACTAGGGTAGCACTGGCTTGAATTACTGCCCTTCTTATGGACACCCTGGGGCCTGTGGCTGAGTGAATGTGGAGGCTTTAGCTGAATTCCCACTGTATTCTGAAATTCCCATTATCACAACCAGCACTGATGAGGCCTCACTCTGATGCTCTCTCTAAGTCAACCAAGAGCTGCTAAAAAGACTTAAAAAGGTGAGGGAACATTGCTGTCCTCTTTGGGATGAGGGGGTGGTGAATAAAGCAAGGCAGACTGCTCTGACTGTCCCTGGGCAGTAGTTGTGCAGTTTGAACTCACATTTGGCTGTACTGAGTCACCTTGCCTGGGTTTTACTAAGTTGGTGTGAAACAAGATCTTCTGTTCAAGTGATGGAGCTGTGAGTTCAGAATTGCCTTTACATCCTCTACTTACCACTTCCTATTAGCCTAACAGCAATAAAAGTGCTTCTCTAACGTTTATAAATCACTTTGGATAGGAAAAGTACTCTATAGTATTAATACATTTATTATCCACCGAGCTGCAAGGCCCAAAGATGGCCAGTGATGTATAAATATCCAGTGAAATTTTTAAAAATTCAAAACTTCATTAACAATTTAAGACCATCTGTGCTGAATATTCAACTGGACCCTGTTCTGCTGCCTAAAACAAACTGCCTGTGTCCTGTTTTCCCACGGACCTCTTCGAGCACATGGTGAGGAGAGGAAGGACCTGCTCATCCCAGAGCTGTAGAGTGTCACAGGAGACCCAAACGTGGGCTGTGGCTCAGGGTAGGGGGTGACCTGCATTTTCCATGCGTGTTTTGGCATCCCCAAGTACCTGCTGTGGTGACTTTGGGGTGTTGGGGAGCAAAATCCTGCCAGGTCCATTGGCAGGGCTAAGCCTCATCCTACAGAGGAGGGTTATCTTCCCCTGCCTGGTGCTCCAGCAGCATCTCTCAGGTAATTTTCCTCTCTCCACTGTGCTCTGCTCTCTCCCCTGGTAGTTTTCCTCTCCCCTTCCTTCCCTGCTTTTCAGCACCACTCTATTCATCCAGGCACCGTGACTTGGAATTCGACAGCTCCCCGATAAGAAGTCTATGATTCTCCTTATCTCCCCACATGAATTAGCCTGCCTGAACACCTCCCGCATCCCCTCCTCCTCCTCCCCTTCCCCTCGCTGACCCCCCGCAGGCACACAGGGAACCGCCAGCTATCGGACCTTCGCTGCGGTTAAACACCTCGCACGCCCACGGCGCCTCCTCGCTCCCACCTGGAATTCGGGATTAGTTAAACTCCCAGGACTTTCCACTCCCTCTGGAGCTGACCCCCGGTTTCTGGCACGTTCCCTCACCGAGCTGTTCTGGCACTGGACGCTGGAGCTGTTGAAGCGCAGGGCGGGCACGCGGTGGATGACGCCCTGGATGCTGAGCACACACTCGTACCCGCGCTGCCCCGACTGCGGCTGGGGAAGGTTTCTCGCCTTCAGCGTGATGGGTTTCACCTCTCCCACCGGGATCAGGATCTCCTCCGTGGGGAAGAGCTGGGGACAGTCCTGGGAGGGCGATAAGGAGAGAAGGAGGTTACGGTGGTGACGGTGCACCCGCGGGCCCGGCCGCTCCGGCGGCAGGGCTGATGTCCCAGCACATCCCCAGTGCCCAGGACACACCACTCCCCAGCCCAGCTACAGTTTAATTGCAGGAATAAAGAAACCCCCACGACAGCCCCTCTGCCCTGGGGCTGGCACTGATTTCCTCACTGCAGCTGCAGCAGGAGGAACACCCTATCTGGGGATAAATCCAAGGTGTCCTCCCCTCTCCGAGCTTGCCGTGGGTTTTATCTGCGGAGCCAGAGGCTCTTGCCGTGCCCTCCTGCAGCAGCACAGCCCCTTATCAGCTGCTCCAGCTCTGCTGGGCTGCTCCCAGCCACAGGCTGCACTCCCTGGGCCTCTTCCTAATCCCATTTCACCCCTCACACCCCTCAGCTCTGTGCTGTGCTGAAGTGAGACAGATCAGCCTGGGATGTGCTTCCCTCTCCCCACCAGGCACTATTCTGCTCTGCTTTATCAGAGGTAAATTAGGCCGATGTGCCATTAATTTCTGAGGTCACATTAAGTTCTGCTCTATCTGCTCTCACCCCTCACCACCCTCCAACACCTCTGCCTTCCAGAAATGCACACCCAGCTCTCTGGAATGCTCCTGGGCTGTGGTTGGCATGGCCTTTCCCTTGGCTGAGGAGTGCCTGGGTGGGATTTGTGCCTCTGCCAGCTGGGTGGGCAAAGCACCTCACCCGAATTGCCTTTTCTATCTCTAAATCTTAGAGTAGTTTAGGTTGGAAGGAACCTTAAAGATCACCTTCTTCCAACCCCTGTCTATGGGCAGAAACACCTTCCACAAGCCCAGGTTGCTCCAAGCCCCGTCCAACCCGGCCTTGGACACTTCCAGGGATGGAGCAGCCACAACTTCACTGATAAGGGTGATTTATTTTTACTTCTGCCATTATCTGGCCAAAATAATTAATTGCAAATTAATAGCAAGTTTTAATATTGCTGCAGCTCAAAACTTTGCTGTGCAAGATGCTGTATGAAAAATAAAAGGAAACTCCCTGCAAACACTGGAGGACAAACAGGCCCTGGCACAGGTTGCCCAGAGAAGCTGTGGCTGCCCCTGGATCCCTGGAAGTGTCCAAGGCCGGGTTGGACAGGGCTTGGAGCAACCTGGGCTAGTGGAAGGTGTCCCTGCCCATGGCAGGGGTTGGAATGAGATGAGCTTTAAGGTCCCTTCCAACCCAAACCATTCTGTGATTGATGAACCACCACTGCACAAACGAGCAGATCTCCAGTTCCCCACGAGCACAAATGAGATGTCTAAATGAAACTCTGAGATGAACCACAAAAAAAATGACCTATCAGTGCCTGGTACCTGTACGACATCCCTCCCATAAGATCTCAGCATCCTAAACATTATCTCTGCACAACACACCAGGAAATACAGTTTTTCTTCCATTTCCATACCGGGAAATGCAACAGACTGAGACAAAGGCTCTGACCATCAGAAGTATTTACATTCTGTTCAGCTCTAATTTGCTTTGATCTAATGGAACAAGGTACCTAAGTACCTGTAAGCACCTGACACTAAATGATTAATCCCAAGCTAAAGTAGGAGTTTGAGAAAACACGGCCCGACGTCTCCCTTCCCTCTACCAAATCCCAGACCTTTGCCACCCAGCCTAGTGATGAGAGGAAATCATCCTGGTGGCAGTGCAGGGAGAGCCATCCTCACCAGGATTTCACTAGGACTGTGTGTCCAGGGGGAAAATCCCCATCTCTCCCTGATGGCCACAACCTGTGCCAAGCCACACTCCCTCTCCAGCTCACAGCCAGGGCCATGGGATGTTGTTTCACTACTGGCTCAGGCGAGTTGTAAATGAGAAACAGATGCTACCCTGGTTTGGAGTAACTTAAACCACTGCCTCATAAACCTTTTTAGTGGCACTTTTCCTTATATATATTTTATTTTATTTCTAACAGGGACTTTCACGGATTAACAGCCAAGAGTGGTTTTAAACTCCATCAGCCAGAAAGCGGCTACGCTGGAGTGGGAAGAAAAGTCCTTTTCTGCAGTGGAGTGGGTTTACAGGCTGGAAGGGAATGGCATCACCTGGTTCCCACAGACCCTGGTACTGTGGATCCAACCCCCAGCTCAGCCTTTGTGCTACCACCAGCAAACTCCTAGGACTCCTGGCATTTTCCATCCACTGCCAGCTCCTCCAAGCTGATTTTGCACACACATTCCTTCCTCCTCCTTATGCACCACACGCCTGTACCACCTTCAACTCAATATCTGGCTGCATTTAAGCTTTTGCATTTAACCTCAAAGTCATACTGAGGACCGATGGGAGACAAATATCTCCGCTCCAGAGAGGTCCCCAGCCCTGTGGAACGCCCGTGTTTGGAAGGAAAAGCATCCTGGAGCCACTGAATCTTTTACCCCATTACGACCGAAAACAAAAAAATCTCCAGTCACATCACCAGTGGGAGAACCTCAGTGCACAGTCCTGAAAATAATGAATATGTTATGGACCATTATCCTTCCTGGCCAGCGCCAGCCGTGAGGCGACTGCTAAAGAAACGCTCCTGCCTTGGAGAGGGAGGACTTACATTTCCAGATCTGCTCTCTGGTGCTGAAAATGCTGGTGGCAAAAATCGTTCTGCCGTCATTAGAGATGAGTGGGACATAATAGATACTTTTTTCCCCCCCCTCCCTTTGGTTTCAGTGGAAGGAAAATGTCACACGGGGGTGGTGGTGAAGGCAGGGCAGGCAGCCCGAGAGCGCGCTCGGGGATGCACCAAGCAAGGGGGCCCCTCTGTGTTGGCTGACAGCTACAGTGATCACACTAATAAGGGATGTACATTTTGGGATGGGGGGATACGTAGGAAGATGGAAAACTCCTGGGGAGCCACGTTGCTGTGGGCAGTCACTGCTGAATTTATCAGAGGAGCGAGCGAAGCCGTGGAGCTGCCGGGGCTTGTGGAGGGCACAGGAGGGCTGGGAGGTCCCTGCCTTGTTGGAGCCCTTCTCCTGCCTCTCTGAGCCATTTCCCATCCCACCTTATTGTTCAGCCTTCAGGCTTTTTTTTTGGAATTTGGTTTTTTTAATTGCTGCCACAGCAATGCACGACCACGTCACTGCACACTCACATCCCTGCACACCCATGTCCCTGCACACCCATGTCCCTGCACATCCAAAATCCTGCACACCCAAATCCCTGCACACTCATGTCCCTGCACACCCCCATCCCTGTACAACCACATCTCTGCACATCCATGTCCCTGCTCATCCATGTCCCTGTACACCCAAACCCCTGCACACTCAAATCGCTGCTCAACCAAATCTCTGCACATCCAAAATCCTGCACACCCAAACCCCTACACACCCATGTCCCTGCACACCCAAATTCCTGCTCAACCACATCTTGCTCAAACACACCCCTGCTCAACTAGATCTCTGCACATCCAAAATCCTGTACACCCATGTCCCTGCACATCCAAACCCCTGCACACCCAAATCGTTGCACATCCAAACCCCCGCTCACCCAAATCCCTGCACATCCATGTCCCTGCACATCTAACCCCCTGCTCACCCACGTCCCTGCACACCCAAATCTCTGCACACCCAAATCCCTGCACATCCAAATCCCTGCACACCCAAATCCCTGCACACCCAAATCACTGCACACCCAAATCACTGCTCAAACAAATCTCTGCACACCCAAACCCCTGCTCACCCACATCCCTGCTCACCAAATCTCTGCACATCCAAAATCCTGCACACCCAAACCCCTGCTCACCCACATCCCTGCACACCCAGCCCTTCCCACGGGGAGTGTGTGAGAGGGTTGGGTCTCATGTGGGTGCTCCTACAGCAGCACCCAGGTCCCACCCTGCACACACAGAGCTGCAGGGGGTGATGCTGCAGGAAAACAGCTTGGCAGGGTGGTTTGTCCACTCACTACCTCTTCTACCTGTTCCCTGATCTAAAAGCCAGCACTAGCATGAATTATTTTGTTGGGGTATATCATCAGATTTAGCAATGCCTCTGTCTATGCTTATTCCCTTTACAGGAATTTTGTGATGAGCTGGGAAGTGGTTGGCAGCACCAGTCCTGCTGCAGGGATCAGAACTGTGTGGCTGTGGCCAAGATCCCTCGTGGTGGTAAATAACAAGAGCATCCCTGGTTTGTCGGGCTCAGCCTGGGTGCTCCATTCTGCATTTCATCCCCAGGAAGAGCTAAACACCCAGAAAATACCAAATAAAAGCGAGACTGCAGCCGGTGGAATACACAATTTGTTCCGTAATCAGTTTACTTTGTTTTTTAATTCACGAGAAGTAAATCCTGCCGCGAGTTAGAAAGGCCATTATCGCCTCCTCTCGCTAAACAAACACGTCGAATCCTCTCATTATCCTCCTTGACTTCCCTACACCAGAATAAACACAAATCGGAAGATCTGCAGGAGAAAGACAAGGCTCCGACTCGTGAGTGGCACAGACTCTCGGGGAATATTCTGCCTGTGAAGTATCATCTCGCCCAATTTACAAAGACATTTTCTGCTTCTCCAACACTTTTTAGCCTCAAAGATTCCAAGGTCTATAAATACCTTAAAGACCCGCGACACGCAGCTGTCTCTGGAGCAGAACAGAGCACCCATGGTTATTATTTGTGTTTAACTGAGCAGTTTTAGTAGGTCAAACCTCCTTGCTCTTATTTGGAAAAAATTGCTTAGAAATGGCAGGCAATTCTTTTGACTACGGGATTTAGCCCAAATGGCAGAAAATAGACTGTTTTCGTACTTTTCATCTCAAAAAAAAAAAAACAACCACAAACTCTCCACAAACGTTAACTTGCTACACATATTTCAAAGTTTTAAACATAAACGAATCTGGCACGTGAATGTAAAGCCCTGGCTCGCAGTTGTGTTCCCAATGATATAAATTACAGTGCCTGTCACTCAGGGAAACACATTATCCTTCATTTATGCCACTGGAAAGGAGAGCAGACCTTGCTCCTTAGAAACCAGACATGAAAGAAAGGCAGCTGGAGCCAAACCTTTCTCCCTGCTAAATTCCTCCCCAACAGCACTTAGTCCTGAGCCCTGTGCTGAACACACGTGCTGTAACCTGGGTCTTCTCCATTAATTTGGGATATTTACAGCCAGGGAAGGCTGAAAATCTGATTTCTCTCCCATAAACAACCCTTTGTGTACCAGAGGTGAGGGCAGGAGCAATTCCCTTGCACGTGGACATGTAGGAACACATCCAGAGCTCTTCCCTGCCTGGCTCCTTCCCCTCTGAACACACCCCAAAAAAGCTATGGATGAAAAAATGCCAATAGGCTCAGAGACGAGTTAATTTTGCTGAAGCTGGGCTTTTTATTACTATTTCAGGCAAAGCCACCTCTCCAAAGTTAGATGTGACCCAGCAAAGTCATTTGCTGACTTTGGTGGCCTGAGATGTGGCTCAGAGTTCCCTCCTGCACATCACAGCTCCCACATGGTGGGGATTGTCAGGACAGACATGAGGAAGGCTTAGTTTGGGTTTGTTCCCTTCAAGGTACATCAAGCAGCACTCAGCATCCAAGGGCACAGCCAGGGGCAAAGGCACTGCTCTAAAATCAGTGGGAATTTAAAGGAGTTAGACCAGAGCTGAAATCTGGCTCAGCAAAGAACTCCCAGAATCTGAAATGTTCCATCCCCAAATCAGCATCCTGCATGTGGAAATGGCATTATCTGCACACAGTGGACATCAAAGAGGGATGGGATCCCACATTCTGGGAAGCTAATAGGATTTATTTGGTTCTAGCTCTCCACTGGGATGGGGTGTGAGGATATATTTATCTACATTCCTCCTCATCTGAAAGTTTCAAACGTATAGAGACATCTTACAGCCTCGCACACACACAACCACCTCAGAAACATAAACCCAGATCCCACTGGCCTGACCTGAGGCTTTGGAAAGTGAGACAATCAGTGCTACAGTCATGAGACTTCTTGAAGAAACTCTGCCTTAGTGGGAGCAAGTCACCCCCAGACCTTTGCCTTCCCAAGGCCCTCTGGATGGCAGTGTCCAAGCAGGCACATTCTGCTGACAAATGAAGCCTCAGGCTGAGAAAAGGCTGAGAAAATAGTTGCTTATTTAATTATTAACTCCTAAAGGAGAACTCAGTGGAGGTGGGTTCACCTCACATCAGAAACTTGCCATGGGATGTAGGACACCAGGAACAGCCAGCTCTGTCCTGGAAGACCCCTCTGTTGTAAAAGCTGCTCTGTGTTTATCTGGCAACGACCCCAAACAATGTTTTCCACATTTTCACTTCTCCAAATACAACAGCATGATGCAAAGCAGGGATCTGGCAGTCCAGGGGCATCTTTGTGTCTCACCAACACAGCCCTGGTTATCACTGATGGCTTCACAGGCCAGGACAAGGCACCAACCCACCTTCTGGGTTGGCCTCTGCATCCTGCACATGTGCCCCTGAGCTCTGCCCTTAGATCTGAGTCAACAATTCCTGTCCACAGGGCAGGTGGAGGGATGGAAAAACTCTCTAAGTCATATTTTCATGGAAAGCAGGGCAAAAAAGCAGCATTTAGCTCAGTCAGCACAGCCAGAAGATTGCAAGGAGCAAGTGCACAGCTCATGAAGAGGGGTTTTCTTCCCCCCATCACCTCGTGGAGTGGTTGTGGCTCTGAGCTCCTTTTCCTCCTCGGGACAGACAACTCCTGAGAGCATCAAAGGGAGCTTTTGCTACACGTGGAATCCCACTGGGACACAGATTCTGACGGGCCAGGAGTAAAAGGGAATATTCAAGATATTTTTCTCTTAAATTAAATATAAAGGCACGAGCAGATTTCCAAGCCCGTGTGAACACGTGTGTGACTCTTACATAAGGGGAGGCCCAGGGGACTGTAAGTAGGGCAGGGCTGAAGCACTGCCACAGTGATCACCAGCTCCAAACACCACTGGGAGGGGAGTGATGGCAAGCACAAACAACTTCCTAATACATCAGGCCACGACACAATGAGAACATTGTGATCTGGATTGGTTTAGGAGAGGAAACTCTCTCTGAGGCACTTATTTCACATCTGTGTTGGCAGGAGGGAAGGGCTCCTCATAAAGGCATTAGCACTGCACTGGGTGCAATCCACTGGCCTTCAATGAGCAAACAAATTTCTTTGGGTAGCTGGTTTTGCCTGGGTTCAGAGGTCTGGAGGAGTCCTGATGAACAGCCTGTATCGTTATCATCAGCCCTTATCAAAAGCAATCCCCAGGAAGGTGTTTGATATCACAAAACATCCCCTGGTAAGAAACAACCTTCTACAAGATGAAGACGACGGAGGAAGTTCTTTGGAGACACGACAGTCCTGTGATCCCAGCAGGAACTGGCAGACAGACCAGCTCCTCCACTCCCTTCCCTCAGGCAAGTCCTGTGTGCTCCCAGGAGAAAAACAGAGATAATGGGATTGTCCTACTTTACCAGAGACTTGTCAAACACTTCTGAGATCATGGGGGTGAAGACCTATAGAAGGGAGAACTACTGTAAAGCCTGGGAAGGCAGCGATGCTTTGAGTGTGAAGGAGAAAAAACCCCACATCACTCAAGAGCAGGAGAAGCAAAGGATTTTCTTTCTCTTGATATGTTGAAAGGAAGTCTCTTGACTTTGAACTGGATTGAGAAAGCTTTTGCTTTGTCCTCGGGGTGGATGCTTTTCCTTGGACATTCATTCCAATCCCTCGATGGCAGCACTGCCTGCTCCCAGTCACGCTGCCCATGCCTTGGATCTTGCAGATTCCCACTGAGGTATTTACACAAGCAGTTCATAAATCTCTCTTGCCTTGTATCTCCTTGTCTCCTGGCAGCATTTTAACCAGGGATACCCAGGAGTTAAGTTTACTGTTGGTTTAGCAGCAACCTGGCAGCTTCGGTCACTTCTTTTTAATGACTCAGTGTTTACTCCACTGACTGATCCCTTCTCCTTTTCTCAGTCTCCATTACTCACTCATAAGGGTTTGTCTTGCTGCTGGCAAACCTTCCTCTCCTTTCTTTCCCTTATACTTGTAGATGTCCTCACTGCTGCTTTTCCCACTTTCCAAGACACTCGGGATTTTCAAAGCACCTTTTAAACCATTTTTCCCTTTCAGCTTTAGGACCTGCACTCACTTCAGGCACTACAAAGCTTCATGTAGGAACAGCAAGGACAAAAACCAGGGCACTGTCAGCATCAGGGGCTGTAGCTGCTCTGGACTTCATGAACATGGAGCAGGCAGCAGCCTGGAAATCAGACAGGACAGGGGTGCAGGAACCCCAGAGCAAGGGGTTAGTGGCAATGTTCAGTCAGGAATTTGTGCTAACAAACCCCTTCCCTTCCTGGATGGCTCTGCCCTGGGACACACAGAAGAGCTGGCAGAGCCATTAACGGGCTGTGCCTCTTCTGACTGTTAAAAGCATTTTTGGATTTGAGCCCCACACCTTTTATGAGCTGCTAAGAGAGATGGCTCCTGGTCCACAGCACTGGAACCCGAATCCATTCTCTTTTCCAAAATCTGGGGCTGTGCACATTGGTAATTCCCTCCTTAATCAGTTTACCGTCAGGCTCCTGCCATAAATTCCAGACCTGCCAACACAACCCACTGAACAGTCCCAGCAAGACCTGCTGCTGGCCAGCAGGCAAAACAAACCCCTGCACACCAGCAGAGCTGCTGAAAGGTGCTGGCTTTTGAGGAGCCTTTGAGACCCCTGAAGGAAAAGCACCACAGTAATTATCATTATTAATGAACCTGGGCATTCCCACAGAGCAGAGGCAGGGTCAGCTTTGGTGTTCAGCTCAAGAACATCATTTCAGTGAGACTGACACTTGTTGCTCCTTTAAAGCTGCATCTACACTTCTTGCTGCCAAAGACACCCGTGGGAAGTCAAAAAACCTCACGTAAATATTTGTTGTGCTACTCGTGCCATAGAAAAGCAAAGAATAAAGGGATGAAATGCCAGTCTGGTACCTCAGAGATGTTGATCCTCCCCTCCTGGAAGGAGCACGTGGTGGGGTCGTGGGTGCAGAGGTTCCTGTACTTGCACCAGTGGCAGCGGAAGGCGCTGTTCACACAGGACAGGCACCTGGGGGGAGAAAGGAGAGCTCAGCACACAGGTTATCCCCCCTGGGAGGTCTGCATAGTTACAGACAGGCCTTGCCAGAAATCCTTCACGGGGAAACCAGTTTCTTTGGGAGGACGTTTTGATAGACAAAAAAGTAACAAACAGGTCTGGGAAAACACACGCTCCAAAGTGTCCTTTAGGCAACCTCGCAGTTCACTCCGTAATAAAATGCCAGCTGGGATTTATTGCACATCGTTGGATTGGCATAAAATAAAGCACGACATTGCACAGACACACAGACACACCAGGCTTGGTTTTCAGTTTTTAGAAAGTGGAAAACAAGGCAAGCCTGGCAAAAATGGGATCAGTTGTTTTACAAGTCAGGAATGCTTCAAGTCAACGGCAACACTTCTGCTTGGCCTCGGAGTGCAGAGAGTCCAGCAGGCCCTTTTGCTTCATGTCAGAAAAAAATTAACTGTTTATGAAATGTTTTTGAAAGAACACAGACCCTTTTCAGAGCTTGGGGGCCCAGCTGCCAGCAAACTGCTGGGTGGGTTTTGTTCCCCACTAACTGCTGCCAGAGAGAGGCAGGATCTGTGACAGCTGCTAATATTCACAGCAGCCACCTCCTCCATCTCTGAGGCCACCCCTCTGTGCCACGTGGCAGCGTTTTGGTGACAGTCTGCTGGCAGAGCTGTGCCCATGGGATTCAGCTCTGTGTCATAGCTTGTGGCTCCAGAGACTGTGGTGCCCGGGCAGGGATGGGCTGGAGCAATCCCAGGGTCAGCACAGACAGAGGAGCATCACCAGGGAAGTAGGAGTGTGGCTTTAAGCAGGAAACTCTGGGAAAAGAGGAAACCAAGTCTCAGTGGCTCTTGCCAGCTGGGCACAGGGACAGGGGCAATGCCTCCTGTGCGCTGCTGCCATGAGAATGTGTTTTAATAACTCAATTGTGTTCTCCTTCTGATGCTTTCATAGTGACCTTAATAGCTAAGGAAGCTTATTCTAATCATGCACATGCAAATCTGGGGGAGAACATCAAGAGCTGCAAAGCTTATTTAATTACTCATTTGTCTGACCCATTTCTGTCCCTGTTGGATCTGCAGCATTTTGCCCACCTGCCCTCACCTGGTGTGGCCCTGGTGTCCAGCATTCCCAGCTGGGACTGGTGGGGCTCTCTGTTTTCCCTCTGAGGGAGGAGGATCTCTCTGACCACCCAGGCCAATGGCTTGGTTTGGCACCTCTCACTGTTCTGTGGTTTCTGTGGTTTCCTGGCTGCTGCTTTCAGCTCTGCCCAGCCCTGGCAGTGGGACAAGGGGCTCCCGAGCTCCCAGACCTACACCAGGTCACCACCTTTGCTTTTTCATCTTGATCCAGCTTTCTCAAGAACTTAAGTCTCTCTGTTGCTTCAGAAAGTGCATCTCTCCACCTCATCCAGTCCTTACCAAAAGACACCTAACAGAGAAGGTTCCCTGACCCCCCTGCAGCTCCCTGAGGATACAGAATTCACACACCTGAGCCCTGAACCACCTCAGCCTATGGGTTCCCAACAGCTGGATCCAGCAAAGGAGGGTTCACAGCACCAGTCTGCAAAAGCAGCAAGTTCCTGTCCATCCCCAAACCCCTCCTGCCCCTAATCTTTCCCTAATGCCACCTCCCAGGGGCACATCCTTCAGACACCAGAGCCACAGAAGGGCTCGGCTGCTCCCCAGGCACCTTCCCCATGGCAGTAAAGAGCCTCTGGATCAATAGATGTCTCCTCTCTGCTGGCTGAGCCCTGTATTCCTGCCTCCTTTTTGCAGGCTGTGATTCATCCCTGCCAGGCTGGCTCGTGCCCTTGTTGAACTCCCTGATAACAAGTCCGGTGTGATGTAAGTGCTGCAGAATTTACCACCCTGTAAGCACTTTATCTCCAAACACAAGCTGGGAGAAAGGCACAGCCACATGAAGCCAGATGACAGGCCAGGAAGGATGTATTGCCTCTCCTGATCCAAACCTCAGCTCCTCACTGAAAACAGGAGGCCCTGGAATGCTATTCCTCATGCAAATTCCAAACCAGGAGAATGCAGGAGAGCCTGGGGAGACTGCAAGTGCTGGCAGCAGAGGAGAGGCTGGTGCTGCACAGCCTGAGTGAGGGACAAGGACCTAAGGACAGAGTTGTGCATGAGGGGTAGCAGGACAGGAGGCAGGAGTCATTGGGGTTATGGACAGAGACCACCACAGGCAGCACTGCAGGACTCACAGGGCTCCTGCCATCCCAGTGCCTCTGCTCTGTGCTGTGCCTCACAACAAAAGTAAAATCCCAAATGAATGCATGCCTAGAAAAACCACAGGCCAGCCAAGCCCAGCAGCACACAAACCCTCTTCCAAGTGCAGCAGAAAGGCCCTGTAGCTTGAGGCTTCAAATCCAGCACAGAAAGACTGGGAATGACCCTGCACTGGCACTTAGTGACCCCAGCAGCACACCAGGCTCCAGGGCAGTGCTGGCACAGGAGCTGCTCCCAGCCCTGCCTTTCCCCATCCAGCTGCTGGCAGGTCCTGCCCACAGTCCTTTCAGGTGCTTTAGAGCTTGCTTTGTTTCCAGAGAGAAATCCATAAACGCTTCAGGTCTGTAAATGTGTTTTTAAGGCCAGACAGCTGCCTGCTGCCTTCCAGCAGCAGACGTGCCCAGGGGGGATGTATTTCCATGATCCTCAGCAGCACTGAGCCCTCCAGGGAGCAGCCCACTGGGCCTGAATCCTGCCTGGGCTGCAGCCCACCCCCTCTCTGCCTGTACCTACCTTCCCCTGCCTGCACCCACCTCCCCTCTGCCTGCACCCACCTTCCCCTGCCTGCACCCACTCCCCCTCTGCCTGCACCCACCACCCTCTGCCTGCACCCACCTTCCCCTGCCTGCAGCCACCTTCCCCTGCCTGCAACCACCTTCCCTTATGCCTGTACCCACCTTCCCCTGCCTACACCCACCTCCAGTTACCTGCAACCCACCTTTCCCTGCCTGCAATTCACCTCCTGCTGCCTGAAGCCCACCCTGCTGCCTTCAGCTCAGCTCCCAGTACCTGCAGCCCCCCTCCCAGTAACTAGAGCTTGCCTCTTGCTGCCTACAGCCCACCTCTCCTGCTGCCTGAAGCCCACCCTGTTGCCTGCAGCCCACCTCTCCCTGACTGCATCCCCCTCCCACTGCCTGCATCCCCCTCCCATTACCTGCAGCCCCCTTCCCCCTGCCGGCAGCCCCCCTCCCCGGCCACTCTGCTCTGCCTTCCCCCGCTCCCTGCGAGGCTGCAGCCGAGTTCACAGTTGCAGGCTGGCGCAGCTTGGGGGCACCAGCAGGTTGAGGTTGTTCCAGGCTCGCTCCACCTGCGGCTCCCAAGGCTCAGAAAGCTCCACGAGGACCCCGGAGCTCGGAGCAGACACGGATTGCTGCCTCCCCTCGCACCCCACGTGTCTGCTGGCTGGACCAAGCGGTGTGATAACACCCCCCACAGCTGGTCCCGCAGCCCAGCACCCATTTCCCAGGGTTTTTGTCTAGTTTTTGGCTCTGCTGGGGCCGGGGAGGGAGCACTCACAGCTGGTGGGCGCTGCAGTTGTAGAACTTGAACTCGGTGCTGACGAACGTCCTCCCCGTCTCCTGCGACCTCAGCTGGAGCACGACCCCGAACCAGTCTGGGGAGGCAAAGCAGAGCCTGTCAGTCCTGCCAGCAGGAATGGGGGAAGCAACACCAGATGCAGGGGCACCCGCTGAGCCCCCTGCTGCTGGGGTACAAGGTGAACTCAGGCTGCTGCCATTCCCTGCTCCCCCAGCCATCAGGACCCTCACCCACACCCCCCTTGGCTGGACCCTGCCCTCCAGCACCCCAGGCTGCTGGACTGGTTGTCTCCAGCAATGCCTCCCAACCAAAACAAAAATTCAGTGTATTCTGAGAAGCAGCCCAAGACTGGAACCACAGAAGGGTTTGGATTGGAAAGTAAAAATTATCTCATTCCAACCCCCTGCCATGGACAGGGACACCTTCCACTAGACCAGGTTGCTCCAAACCCCATCCAGCCTGGCCCTGGATGCTTCCAGGAACTGGGATCCACAGCTTTACCGAGCATCACCTCCTAGAACCATCTAGAATAGGAGACACAGCTGGAAACAAGTGAAGCTCTTCAGGAGCCTCAGCACTGGGTTAATTAAGAGCAGATTGCTCTTCTGGAGTTGCTGTGGGCAAGTCTAACCTGGCCCTGCTACCCTGGGGCTCTGGGCCCCCAGTGTTCACCAACTCTCAGGCTCCATAAAATACCTCAGAAATACAAAGATATCAGCAGGGAAGCCCCGCTGGCACCTGGAAGGATGCCAAGGAGAAAATGAGTTTTAAGCAAGCAGCGTTTTGGTTACAGGAAGAGAAAACACGACAGCAGTGACATTAATGAAGAAACAACCCCAAGATCGGGACCAAAAAAAATTGAAGCTGCACCCACCTACCCGTGGGTGCTCAACCAGGGCTCCTGCTTTCCAGATTCACCCAGTCTGGCACGGCTGAGAGCCCCTGCCCACTCGTGAGCCACCCTGGAGGGGACAGACAGCTCCTGCCCTGCCTTGGGAGCTGTCTGGCAGCGCAGGGAGGGTGTAAAGACAGGGCAATCATGTCCTGCTGCCTGCTCCCAGCCTATCCTTCCCTGTGTGGGATGCATTTCTAAAGGATGAAGCGTATTTAGCTCCCTGGGTTCAATAGCCTTTGACAGGAGCATGAATTTCTCCAGCAGCAGCACTAAAGGCTCTGCTCCACCCAGGAAATCCTGCCAAACCCACTCGGCGCTGCCTGGTGGCACCGACATCACCAGGAGTCAGTGACTTACCTTGATCCACGGGGATGGCAGGAACATCTTTGGCTGGTGGTGACACACACACCACCTGGCTGCCCGAAACCTGCCCTTCCACCTCCGTCAGGTTCCCGAAGAGGCAGGTGACCCCGGCTGTCAGGTCTGGAGCATCACTCACCAGCAGGCTGAGCTGCAGCGGGGACAGGAGGGAACACAGCAGCCAGAAAATCAGTCAGCAGGCAAATCTGCCCAAATTTCCTTTGTCTTTCCAGTCCCTGCTGCTTTCCCATTCTGTGCAACCCCCTCAAATTACTCACCTGCCCATGGGAGGTGGCCAAGATGCCCTTTAATGAGGAGGAGGAGGAGGTTCTTTATGGATAAAAACCCACCCTGCTGAGCCTTTGGGCACTGCAGGTCAGGAGTGGGGCAATGGCAGATTTTTGTCCCCTGGTTGCCCTGCAGAAGCATTGTCACCCCCCAATGCCTGTGTAGCTGTAGCAGCAGCAGTGTGTTCCCTCTCCTACATGAGAGCAGCAGCGACCATCCCAAAACCCCTCTGCTCAAACCACCTCCCTGCCCCACGGCATGACCAGGAGAGACCCCCCTGCCCTGTGGCCAGCAGGAATGAGCACATTCCCATTGATCCCATCACAGATGGGGACTGTCCCCATGGCAAAACAGTGCCTGGAGGCCTCCCAACAGCCCTCCACTGTTTCCACACGGAGTGTCAGGAGGACATCCCAGGAAGGGGAGGCAGCAAGGCCAGGACCCAGCTGCCACGGGGTGCTGGGGGGCTCCAGGAGCAACAGCTGGGATGCTTCGGAGAGCCAGGCCTGAGCACAGCTCACAGATGAGCTTTTTGGGAAACAAAGCCTTTTCTTTCACCAGCTAACAAAACCAGACCAAGAGAAATGTGAGCTGAGGCCTGAGGGGAAGGGGAATTTGCTTCTGCCACCCCCTCTTCCCTGGCTCGGATGACCCCTTTGCTCCCTGGCCCCTCTGCGAGCCTGACTTCATGAGAAAACACTTGTGCCAAGGCTGGAGAACGGAGTGTTCACTGGGAGCCTGGAAAATGCTGGAAGTGGCTCTGGAAGTGGCTCTGGAAGCCCATTCCCCCCTGCTTACCGGGAGGCTGTGCTCGGACACGGAGATGCTGCTGGGCTGCACCGTGACCATCATGCACTGGCTGATGCTGCCTGCGAAGCGGAAGGGCTCGTGGGCTCGCTCACAGCTGTCCCTCGGGGAGCACCTGCCACACAGAGACACATCAGAGCACAGAAAACACCCGGGCAAGGTGTCCTGCACCGGCACCCGGGGATGATCCACGCCGGCACCCGCTGTCGGGCACCGGGGTGGGGCCGAAAAATGTCCTGTGAGCAGGGGAAAGACAAACCACAAGGATCTCGTGAGCTGCTCCCAGTCCTGCCTGCACTGGGACACAACCCAGAGCTCTGAGTGCCAGGGGTGACAGTGGGTGCTGGGGGTGTGAGCTGATCCAGGCACTCTGCAGTCCATAAACTCATCTGCACAGAAACCAAACCAGAAAACAACAAGATGATGCCTCTATTCTGACTAAAACAAAACCACATAGTTCACTAATCATCTCCTCCTGGAGACACAGCCAGGAATGGGACTTTCCAGCTGCTGCCAGTGGTGCTTGGCTGGTTTTCATGCCTTAAGCTCCCAGCTCTCTCCCATTCCCACCAGCAGGAATGCAAGCCCCAGAGCATGCCAAAGTGACTAGGACTGCTCCTAGCATGCTGTGTGCTCCAGGATGGCTCATTATCCCTGTTTTTTTATTGCAGGTGTCCTTGGAGTAGAGTGACATTCAGTTGCTTCCAGCAGAGCACCCACCGGGAGACTAAGGAAGAAATATCAGTGTTTCAAACCAGATATCTGAGACTGCAGCACTGTCATCCCTCCATGATTTCCTATTTTATGTTGTTTGGGGGAAATCCTTTTCTTCCTGGGGCTGGAAGATATATCTGTCTTTTGGTACTAATGGTCTCAATAAGCCATCAGCAAACTTTGTCCCTTTTCACTCCCTGCTGATCCTGGACCTGCTTTCACAAAGGCCGGTGGGTCGAGCTGCTGTTCCCAGTCCCACCAGCAAGTTCCCTCTGATAGTTTCTGGAGCGTTCGTGGTACCTGAATTAACAAGGTCCTGCTGTCACACTGCTTGTTTCCCTGGCTCCCTGTGGAGCAGCTCCAGCTGTGCCAGACGCACAAACACGTCAGCAGAAACACGTCCTGCCCACGCAGAGGCTGCATTTTGCCATCACGCTCTGGCCACTGACAGAGGGGCAAAACCAGGCTCTGGAACAGCAGCACTGCTCCTGGTTTCCCAGAGAAGCTGTGGCTGCCCCACCCTGGGAAGTGTTCTAGGTCACGTTGGCTGGGGTTTGGAGCAACCTGGGCTAGTGGAAGGTGTCCCTGCCCATGGTAGAGGGTGGAATGAAATGAGCTTTAAGGTCCCTTCCACCTCAAACCATTGTGGGATTCTGTGATTCTATGAAACAGTGGGACCAGGATCCTTCTCACGAGGCTGTTTGCTTTAGATTAGGTGAAGTTTCCACTTTCCCTTTCCAAACCACCTGTGTGATCCCTGGCAAATAGTGGTGCTGCTCTCCTCACCCTCTTGCTTTTAGTACCTTTTCCTTTGGAGCATAATGGAGCTAAATATGAATGCTGCCAAAGGAAGAATTATCGAGGTTTAAGTGAATCTGTAAGATAGCTTTAAAGTGAGCTCTTGACTGGAGCCTTTATCTCATTGACTTGCTGGAATGGTTCTTTTTTATCATACTATTTATGGCAGCAGCCCTAACAGAGATAAATAGGTCTGGAGACAATAACACACTTGCAGAGAGCAGCGTGTGGAAGCCTTGCAGGTTTGGGATCCCACTGGGCTGAAGAGACTCTTTAACAATCTCCTAAAGGCCTCTGATCGCTACCAAAGAGCACTCACTGCTTGTAGAAGAGGAAGAGCAAAGGATCTGCTCTCCATGCAGAGGGTGAACTTGCATGGGAAGCAAAGCCCTGGCAGGGAGGACACAGCAGAGGCTCCAGGCAGGAATGAGCTGCTCAGCCATCGCCTTCTGCCCCAGGGACCCCAAGGTGAGAAGGGCTGTTTGGCAGAAGAACGAGAACCTTTCCCATCCTGCTGGTTTTTAGCACCTTCTCAAATGTCCTGCACCCAGAATTCCTCAAATCCCAGTGCTGCCCATGGCCACCACCTCATCAAGCACTAGTTTTCGTGAGTTAATCTGCTTTGGGAATCTCCTGGTTCAGGTTCATGGCTGGAGCCTCCAGTGTGACCAGCTCCTGATCAGAGCTCCCTGATTTCACCCTCACCTGCACCTCATCCATCAGCATCGTTACAACCACTATCCTGGAATTCCAGGTGTGCAAACACCCCCTGTGCCACAGAACCTGAACCCTGACTGAGGTCTCCAAGAGACACCACCACCTAATGAGCACACAAGGAGAGCTCTGTGTAATACTGGACAATGAAACAGCCCAGGACAACCCAGATCCTTTCACTTTTCCTTTACTGTTCCATTATTTCCTTCCTCTCTGGCTGGTGGTGGGGAAGGCAGGACACACTGCCTGATGCCTCCTGGAATGGGGTGCTGGTCTGTCCATCCCTCTCATGTCCATCCATACTCAGGCATCCAACACATCATTTAAAATCCTGATTTTTTTTTTTCAGACTCCCAGATGCCTCAGAACCTGCATGTCCACACTCTCAGCTAAACCTCTGGCAACTGCAAATGTGGATTCCAGGTGTCCAGAGAGGAGCTGCCACAGGGGCTGGCCTGCCCTGCTCCTCCTCACAGACACCCTGAGCTGCCTGGGTGCCTTGGTACCCCCCAGGACACAGACCCCAAACCCAAGGAGCAAAATCCCACAAGCAGTGGGGAGAACCTCTGGATTTCAATCCCCAACAGACACTCAGTGCTGGTGTTTACCAGCCCCACACTTGCTCAGGCCACCAGCCACTCTCTTGCTCTTCCAAGGATTAAATCATCTCCTCTTCCAAGGACTAAATCATCTCCTCTTCTGCCCCTCATCCTTTTAACACACCCTCCTTTATCCACCTTTCAGAAACCACAGTGTGAGCATCACACCCTGACATGCCACCCCTTCCACCAAGCAGCTGTTCCGGCTGGAGGAACGTGTAAGAATTAGAGGGGAGAGATGACAAATTAAATACAAACACTCCAGCACTTGGGGCCTCCAAACAAACACGACAAAGGCTTCAGGAACAGCGAGATAAACTCAATTATTTACAGCTTAAAACAGAAGCTAAGAAATGATCATCGCTCCAAAGTGCAGATGCTTGAAGGGAAGAGTTGAGAAATACCATCGGGGAAGGAACCCTTGCTGGGAATAGGTTAATGTTGAAATGTCATGGCCAAAAGGGCAGAGGAAATGACACTTTTCCCTCCTCTTGACATTGAGGGTTTTCTCTCTGCAAAATGAAGATAACAACCTTTACCTGCTTCCCAGGTGGCTTATGAAGATTCAGTTCATTAGCATTAGGAAAGTGCTCGGTGATCCTTGCAGAGGAGCTGCTGCAGGAGGCTGAGGAGCAGCACCAAGCACACCCACCCACAGGTACTGAATGCAGCATCCCCTCCCCGTCCTGCACAGCTGGAAAGGCAGAGCCAAAGGGATGGGAATCCACAGGGGGTGGAAATCACTCCTTCTGACAAAGCAGCTGTGATAGCAAAGACTTTCAGACACAACTGCATGCAGGGTGGTTCAGCTGTAGGGCTGGACAGGCCTGTCTGAAAAAGAACGAGCTAAAAAAACCCCAGATGATGCCCAGGGTGCCTGTCTGAAAAAGAACAAGCTAAAAAAGACCCTAAATGATGCCCAAGGTGCCTGTCTGAAAAAGAACAAGCTAAAAAAGCCCCCAAATGATGCCCAGGGTGCCCTGGGGTGCTGCTGGTGGGATGCTCAGGGCTGTGCTGCTGCCCTCAGCCCCTGCCTGTGTGGAGCCAGAGGGATGCTCAGGGCCAGGGGCTGAGCTGGCTCTTCTGCACCTCCCCAAGCGTGGCAATGACCCAAGAGAGCTGTGAGGAGCTGGTTTGCACCCCGAGGCCCACGGGTCCCAAATCCAGGCCGGATTTGTGGAGGAGCCTGGTGTTCCCTGCTCCCCTCCAGCACCTGCTCCTCAGGCACGTGGCCAAGCGCTGCTGTGCGGGTCCCTGAACTCTGCCTCCCCCCATTGCCACGCTTTCCATGCATTTAACGGGGCTGCTCTGCGAGCTGGCACGGGGCCGGAGGGATTTCTATTCCTCTCCTCCGGCCTCCTCCAGGCTCATCCCTCCTCCCCCGCTCCGCCGCTGCCCGGTGGTCTCCCTTCCGCCTTAGGAAGTGATCCTTATTATGGAGAGAAAGGAAGGACACGGACACCTCCTGAATGCAGAGAGCATTTCCTGGAGCTCCCCTGAAGAAATAAAAACCACCACCCTTAGCCCTCTGTGCCTGGTGATGCAGGTGGGGGGCTGCCAGCCCCGAGCCCCGCGCTCCTGGCTCCCACCAGGAACGGCTAGAGCACAATGGACCCCCTGACCTTTCCTTGCAGCATTTAAATACCTCTTCCTGGTGCATTTAAAAGGGCTCAGTGCTCTGCTCTGATGCTGTAACCTCGCTGAAAGCAGAGTCCCACTCATATAATCAGAGTCCACCGCTGCCTTTAGGAATTCCCTGTTCCTTGGGATTCACGGCTCGGGTGAGCAGGAGTGTGCAAAACACGAGGCCTCCATTCCCACCAGTTAAAATTCTGGTTTTCCATCGTGTCCACATCACCCTCTCCACGCAGTGAGTGACCCACTGCTCCCAAAACAGGAGCTTATTTTCCTTTACCTTTCCACAGGAGCTCAGGGAATTTCCAAGGCATTCACACTGCCAACGCAGGGAACGTCCAAAGAAGGGGAAAAACTGATTTAAGGAACTTCAACCTAATTCTTTTCGTGTGGGAGGTGCTTGGTAGGCTTTGAAAGCTGCTTTTATCATCATGAAGTGGTCAAGGCTGAACTTACATGTGGTGGAGGGAGCACCAGCCACAGTGGGGGTCCCCCGAGCTCAGGCACTCCCCGCAGGTCGTGTACTGCTCACAGGACTCCACGGGCACCCGGGACACCTGCAAGGGAAGCAAACACAGGGCTCAGTGCTGCTCTCACTCCAGCAAAACCAGAGCAGCTCCAGGTCCTGCTCCGCCAGTTGGAGCCACGTAACACGACAGCAATTCACCGCCTTGAATGAATTTGTTCCAATATCCGAGAATAGGAAATACTGGAGAGCGAGACGTGAGGTCAGCCCGTCCCCTGGGGGGAATTGTGGGCACACAGAGCCCCAGCTGGGCTCCCACTCCTGGCGCCAGAACCCCCCGACCTCCCTGCCCAGACGTGCTCCCGCGGCCGGAGCTGTTCTCTCCTCCCTGATTTACAGTTTGCTATCTCACACTGCTGCAGGGAGGAAAGCTGGTGGGGAACACAATCCATTGGGATTTTGTCAGCTTGTTTAGTCTAGGTGGGTGTTTCACTGCTGGCTCCTCCTTGGCCACCCTGAGCCCTTCCAGTACCAGAGTGGACTTGGCCCCCCAGGCATGACCCACCAGGGGATTCCTGCTCTCCCAGGCAGAGATGCTAGAGAGGGAAGCCCAGGTGGAACAACCCCAAACCCTGCTGCAAACCCCTGCCTGCCCTTCAGGCAAGGTCCCTGCAGGATGCTGAGGTGTAGCACGGTCCAGACCTGTTTATCAGTACTGAAAACCCCAAAGGCTCCAAAATTACACCAAGCTTTAATCATAGGTCACTGCTTGACAACATGAAGAAATTTTTAACCTTTTTAACCACTTTAACCTTTACAAGCCATCCCTTTGCCACCTCCAACGGGCACGGTAGTTTGCATCCCTGTCCTGATTGCTGCAGGGGGATGCTCCTGCACTGGCCCATACATACAATATATGGAAGAAATTCTTTACTATGAGGGTGGTGGGGCACTGGCACAGGTTGCCCAGAGAGGTTATGGACACCCTAAAAGTGTTCAAAGGCAGATCAGACAAGGTTTGGAGCAACCTGGTCAGGGGGCAATAAGGAACGCGACAAGGCCAAAATTCCACCCCAAACCATTCCGAAGGTTCTATTTGCATTTCTCTTCCCAAACACTGCAAATAGTTATTGCCCAGCCCTGCAGCCTTGGCTGCTCTGCTCAGGGCCCTGGGAGTGATGCCTGCAACTGGCTGGAAATTAAAACAACTGTCGGCATCGCACTCGCTCTGTCCGTCAAAACAGCACCCGGCTCCCAGCAGCTGGGAGGGAAAGCAGTGACCAGCAGTGAAAGGAGCAGTGTCTCCCCAAACAACGGCCACTTTCAGGCCAAGTGCTGTTGACACAGTGAGAACCCAGTTCCTCTCTGAAGACGACACCAATAGGGCTGCTATTCTTCTTGTTTCCTCAGCCCCTACTCAACAGCTTTTCCTGAAACCAAAAAAAAAAAAAAAAAAAAAAAAAAAAAAAATCACCCGGGGGTGAGCCCCGGGGGGGGGGGGGGTGGTTTTTTGTTTTTTTTTTTTTTAAGGTGGAGCCCATGGGGTGGGTGCAAGGCTTAGTTTTGGGGATGCTGAGAGCTGGGAATGAGGGGTGTGAGGGGTAGAGTCAGGTACACCAGGGATACTTTTGGTCTGTGATAGATGGAAAGAGCATCAGAAACGGAGAAGGTGATAGCATAGAGATGGAAAGGAAGGGCTTGGGTTGGAATCCTGGCTGCAGAAGGTGTTTGGGGTGTCCTCTCAGGGTCTGTGCCTTGACTGGTCACATGTGATGTATTTTACCTGCTTTGCTTCTTCCCTTAAGGAGCTCAAAGCACTTTATGGATATGGTGGGGTGGGAGCGAGCCCAATATCCCAGTGACAGGCACAGCCCCCTGGGATGGCCCATCCAGGACTCACTCCTGCATCCTGCCCAGTGCTGCCACCATGCCCATGCCCTTCCCACCACCAGTGCTCACCCAGCATTTCCCAGTGCAGACATCACCCTGCTCCTGGGTGGAAAACTAGAAGGAAATGTGTTTTCCAAGCCAGGCAAGCACCCCTTGGGAGTTGCCATGGCTCTCATCCCCTGTGGGAGACACCAGCCACCACAGGATGCATCCAGGAAGCTCACTGGGTTTCCCACCTGAAATCTCCCCAGCATGTGCTGGTGGGTTGGCTCTCACCCACCCTGGAGGTCAGGACAGCCCCCAAAATCCTCAGGCACTGCTGCCCCACCTCGTCTTACCCACAAAGTGAGGCTTGACAGGATCTGTCCCTGTGATTTATATGCAGCTCAGGGCTTGTTTCATGTTTGTGAGGAGCTGGATGCTCTCACAGGGCTCTATAAATAACAGAGGATTTGAATTAGATGAATAAGAGTTCATTAGAGATGATTTTATGTTACGCGTTCGGGTTCTTTTTCTGCTCAGAAGCTGCGGCTTCTGCACATGATAATTCTTTAAAAATGTCACAGGAATTGGGAACAATGCAAAGAGTTGCAGAGTTCCAGCCCAAATGGGACCATTTTATCCTTTCTTTGTAATGTTGGAAAAATTCAAGGTAGGGAATTTCACCCATTCAACCTTTTTTGGGGACCAAAACAGACCTGGCTGAGGTGTGTGGGTGGGCTTGGTCCTACCACAGGGAAGCAGAGCCCTGAGGGTCCCTCTGGATCAGCAGTTCCATAGCCTTGGATATGCCCTGTGGTCTCTGGTTGGAGGAAGGCACAAAACTTCAGAGGAGAAGAATTTCTTTCTCTGATACTTAATCCTGTGTCTTTGGAATTCACCCTTCGTAGAAATTATTGCCCCAATGTCCAAGTAAAAGTTTAAATGAATAAGTTTAGACAGATTATGATCAGCAGCACTGGAATATTTCCATGTATGAAAAAAAACTGGGGGGTTTTGCAGTATTTGCCCAGCTCTCTCAGCACTAGCACATAATCAACCCCCTTACCAGCCACAACCCAAATATCAAAAATATTCCAACCCTCTACAGAGTATGTTTCATTTTAATGGACAAACAAGAGAAATCCCTTTAAGAGTAGGACACATCCATATGTTATCCCACACCTATCATGAACACAGAAGACTGAAAGCTGTATTTCCTTCAGAGACAGCACAGCAGTAAAACATTGCTGCCCTTACTCTTCCTGATGGCAGGTTGGAAAGACTCTCTTGGCTTTAGGTATTTTTAAACTGTTCTCTGACAGCCTAATTGTCATTATGAGACCAAAGAATTTGCTCTGGGCTGGGCAGAGAAGACAAGGAACAGCAGTGCCTGCAGCTGGAAGGAAAAACAAGATGGATCAGGGTTGGGGACAGGGGACTCCAAAGTCCAACAACTTCCTCTCATGTCCCCTTCAGCCAACAAGGAGATGAAAAATGAGAGCGTGGAGGCAAAAGAGCAGCAAAATAGGAAGGAAATAGTAAGGAAAGGAGACAGAAAAGCACTGAAGGGAAAACCAGAAGGAAACATAAGGAAGACAGAGCAGAGGGATTTGCTCTTGCCCCTGGTACAGCAGCGGCTGTCGCTGCCACACACTGACATTCCCAGTGATAAGAGAAATCCTGCTTGGCTTCTAAGGAGGCATCCTGTGAGCCCCTGTCCCTGCACACACCCCCTCCTGCCTCCCACACCAGCAGCTCTGCTCCCCACCCAAGGGGAATGAGGGTCACAGGATGAGCCTTGGCTCGTTTTATGGCCACCAGCAGCTCAAGAGAGGGTTGAAATGTTTCCCTCAGCAACCAGATCCAGCAGAACCAACGGAGCCCAGAGCAGTTGGCTGCCCCTGGCAAAGCAGTGGAGAGGGCAGGGAGGGAGGACAGACCTTGCCTGTGAGCTGTGCAGGGTCATCTCTGCAGGCCCAGGGCTTTCCAAAGGCAGGGAGTGGGAAAAGAGGGGTGCAGTCACCCTCAGCAATCCCAAATTCTGGCCACCACAGCACTTGTGGCATCTCCACCCCATCATCCCCATGCCAGCAGGCACCAGCACCTCTCAGCTCTGCAGACCCAAGGTGACTCCCATCTGTCACAGCCTGGTTTATTTGGGAAGGATTTTGGACTTCAGTATTTAGTTTTTAAATGCAAATACTTCTCTTTGCTCACATGAGGGCAGATAGGCCAGAGGAACGCTCCTGGCCCTCTGAGCAAACATCTCAGAAGGTCCATCACCACGGTAAGAATGTATCCCCCACTTCTCCCTGTGCCAAAATGAACCTGCTTCTCAATAATTAGATGATAAAGTCTCATTACTCCTTTCCCTGACTGCCTGACCCATAACATCAGCTAAAAAAAAAAAAAATAAATCAATACAGACTCTCCAAAACACATGAATTCCAGCTCAGCCAGCCCTCAGAGAAAACAAGTGGAAGAAACCAGTTCCAAATAAATAAATAAATAAATACCTAAAATAAACAACTAAAGCAAAGTTTCCACAGCTTGTGCGTGCCACCAGCCCAGGCCTCTGACCTCCCCGGCTGGAGACAGCCCCTGGGGTGTCCCACCACCACGGCACACTGCCCACAGACCCCTCAGGGGGCTGGAGTTCAAACAGAAAATCTATTTTTAATGACTTTGGGGAGTGGAGTAGAGATGCCAACTAGTTCAGTGTAATTAAAGCTATCTATCACTCAGCGAGCAGGAGCCCAAAGTTGATGAACTTTCCAATGAGGTTTTATTCTTCCCTTTTTTCACGAGAAAACACCAGCTTTGTGCTGGTGCAGGAGACGTGAAAAAGTGTGGGAAGGAGCAAGGAGGACACATCAGTTCCAGCCATTAATGTGTCAAGGTGACAGGGAAAACAGAGTCAAACTTTCTCAGGGGGTTGTAAAAAGTTTGACAGACTCCTCTTCTCCTCCCCGAGTCTCTGTGCAAAACTCCAAATGGAGAATCCTCCTGTGGCACATTTTTCAAGGAATTACCAGAGTGAAGGGATGGGAAAAAGAGCAAGACATGTGGGTCCAATCCACCCCACGCTGTGTGAAAATTCCTACCTGGAAAGGACTTCTTGGTTCAAGCAGAGCCCGTGGAGATCTCAGACACGCTGAGACTGATGCCAGCAAGGAGCACAGAAGAACCAGTGACAAGTGGGATGTGGGCAGGGCATCC